CCTTGGAACACACAAGGGGGCTGTGCCCCATCTATAGGCCCCACCCCCAAGGGATTGCTCAACATCCGGGCCCTGTCTAGACAGATGTTTGGGCCTCTGCAGGAACATGAACAGCTGGTGCTCATTCACCTGGTCCCAGCCTCTCCTCGAGAAAAGGACCCTCTTCGAGGTGCAGAGCCAGGGAGGGGGAAGGGAGGGTAAGAGAGGGAGGCCTGTTCCTTTGCAGGGCTGGGACTTGCTCGGCTCAAGACAAAAGATGGTGGCATTGTGGGGGTTTTGGGGAGCACTGCTAATGACCCGGAGATGGCAGACACAGCGAGGAGCGGGGGAGCTGCAAGGAGGTCAGACCCCGAGAGTTTGCCCAGCCTGCAGCACGCTCCCCTCGGGCCCCCTCGGCCGCCCTGGCCCCACGCACCTTCTACGCAGTGCTCCACCTCCTCCAGGTTCCGCAGGGTGATGCGCATGAGGCTGGAGTTGAGCATCAGCTCGTTCTTGTGGGCTGGCCACAGGTACGGGGGTGCAGGGTTCACAAAGAAGATCCTGGTGTCCCCAGTGGACACCTGGTTGTCACAGATGAGGGGGTCTCCAAAGCCGCCAATCACCACCTTGTTGCCACCATCCATCAGGCTCTCCTGAGTCACCACGTCTTTGCCCTTCAAGTACCGCCAGACCCGGACCTGGGGGAGAATGGGGGGCAGGTCTCAGTGATCCACTCCCACTGGGAAGAGGAGGCCACAGAGGCCGGAGGCAAACGGCAGCCTGGGGCGGCTGGGCCTTTTCCTCCAGGAAACAGCTCCCAACCCCCAGGTCTAACTGACCCAGCCACCCCACTCCAATGTGACCATGTCAGCTCCAGCCGGATATGGCAAGGGGATCCCCTGGCCTGGGCTGCCTGCCCTCCCTGCCTTACTCTCCCATCTGCCCACCCCTCCTCTGGCCTGCCCTGGACGGAGCCCGATGACAGGCTTTCAGGGCGACAAGCTCTGAGCTCGGGGCTCAGGGCCAGCTGCATTCTTTGCAGCCCTGTGGGTGGGCTAGACACCCCCTCCCAGGAGATAAAAGACCCCTCCTCCCGCCAGGCTCCCGCAGTGAGTGCAGGAAAGGCAGCTGAGAACCACAAAATCAAGTTTGGGCAGCACAGGGCAGCCCCACCCTCCTGCTCTGCTCTGAGGGCCCCGAGGGCACCTTCTCCGACAAACTGTGCCCTGGGAGGCTCGCAGTCCACAGGGATGGGGAATGGGGGTGGCAGGAGGGTGGCAGGAGAGGCAGGCTGAACAACGGGCTGCCCTCAGAGGAACAGGTTCCCCCGACAGGAGCCAGCTCCCTGAGGAATGGCCTCTCTTCAGGAGCCTGGGGGTGGGCTGCTGGAATGGGGGATGAAAGACAATGGTGGCCAGTTCACCTGCCTATGCCCCCCTGCTGGGAGCCTAGGATCTGCAGGGACCCCCTCCACCCTGCAGTGGTCTGGGTGAGCCCGGCCCGGCCCAGCCCCCCACCCCCCCACCTCCAGACACACAGTAGGCTCAGAAGGACAAAACCAGCAGGGGGAGGGCCGGCAGCTTTCATCGCCTCCCCCCACCCCAGCCACACCCAGGAGCGGCGGGGAGGAAGTCGGGAAAATCCTGCAGGGACTTGGCAAAGTGCCCCGAGGTGGAGGGGAGGGGGCCCAGCGGGGAGCCCGGCGGTAGCCCTCACAGGCCCAGCCAAACGGAGCTGCGGCCCGCTCCCATCTCCCAGCAGGAGGAATGATCCGGTTTCTGGTCGGGGAGGCAGTTTGAGGGGCCCGATGTGGGGAGGGGCCTGGGAATGGATTGTGGTGTAAAACCCACCGTCCTGCCCCGCGGCTGCGGGGTCCCACTGAGGAGAGAACCCCAAGCCCCCCTCGCGTGGCCGGGGGATGCGGTTCTCCCAGGAGCGGATGAGGCACCTGCCCCTGCCCGGCCGCCCCCACGCGCACTGGAGCTCAGTAACGGCCCCGCCCCCTCCTCAGCGCCGGCCCCACACCCGCACTCAGCACCCCCCGGGGTCCCCGGGGGGAGGTGAGAAACCCCCTCTCCCGACCACCCCTCCAGCCCTGACCCAGAGGAACCCCACTCCGCCCGGGCAGAGAGCGCCGTCGCCCCGGCCCCCGGCCCTTCCCGGGCAGGTGGGGAGGGGCACCCCTCGGCGGGCGGCGGGCGGAGGGCGGCCGGGACGGGACCGGCCCGGCCTGGGCGCCGCTCGCTGGGGCTGCGGCGGAACTTTCCCCGCGGCGCCTGCGAGTTCCCGGGACCCGCGCCCCACCCGGGGGCTCGGCGGTCGCCAAGGCAGCGGGCGCTGCGGCGTCTGGGCCGGTTCCCACGGCCGGGCGGGGGTCCCCGCGGCGGCCGGGCACCGGGGGCGGGCCTCGGGCTCGGGGCCGGGATCGCGGGCCGGAGCCCCCAGCCCGGGCTCGGGGCCCCGCGGGGCTCCGGGCCGGCGTGCCGGCGGCGCCCACCTTGCACGAGTACGTGAGCTGCACCGGGTCCACGTTGAGGATCTCCTCCACGGTGCCCGTGAGCACCACGTTCGCCTCCTCCTCCCGCCGCTCCAGCGCGCGCTCCGGGCACGTCCCGTCGGCGCCGGGCAGGGGGCACGCGGCCGCCACCAGGAGCAGCAGCAGCGGCGGCAGCGGGGCCGGGCCGGACGGCCGCAGGCTGGCCATGGCGGGCCGAGGGCGCGGAAGGCCGGAGCGAGCGCGGGCCGGGCCGCGCCGGGGACCGGACTGGACAGGACGGGACGCAGCTCCCGGGAGGCGGTGGGAGCGCGGCGGCCGGGGGCGGGGCGGGGCGGGGCGGGGCCCGGGGAGCACCGCCCCCGCCGCTCCCGCCCCCTCGCCGCCCCCGCGCCGCCCCGCCGCCCCGCCGCCCCGACCCGCGCCGGCCCCGCGAACAAAGCGCCGGAGGAGGCCGGGCCGGGACATGGGGCGGCGGGGCCGGGACAGGGGGCGGCGGGGCCGGGACTAGGGGGCGGCGGGGCCGGGACAGCGGGCGGCGGGGCCGGGACAGGGGGCGGCCGGGCCGGGCCAGCGGGCGGCGGGGCCGGGACTAGGGGGCGGCGGGGCCGGGACAGGGGGCGGCCGGGCCGGGCCGGGGAGGGCGGGTCAGGCGGGGCGGAGGGCGGCCGGGGTGCTGTGTGCGGCGGCCCCACGGACGCCCCCCGCGGGCGGACGGCCCTCCCCCGGCGCGCGCCCCCGCCCCGGCACTGCGGCAGGAGCCGGGTTAATGCACAATCGGGAGGCGACGTGACGGGACTTCCAAGGGGCTCCAGGCCACTCCGGGCCGGGCGGCGGGGGCTCCCCGGCCGCGGGGAGGGGCTGGCAGCAGCCGGGACCCCGCCGCGCTGGAGCCCTGCAGGCCAGGGAGCCTGCGGGGGGACCCAGCCCCCAGCGGAGCCCGGACGGAAGCTCGGCGGGGCCGGGACCCCCGCGGGCTCGGGAGGGGCGGCCGTTTCCATAGGCCACGCCCCCCGCGGCCGAGGGCCAATGCGGTCCTGCGCAGCGTCGATTGGTCAAAGCTGGTCGCAGACCCGCCTACCTCCCGGTCCTGGGTCCGCTCTGGCCTTTATGCAGGGCGGGGGGCGCCCCCTGCTGTCCAGCGGCGGCAATTGCGGGTCACTGTTTGCGGGGGGGGGGGGGGGGGGCGGCCACGCCCCCTTCCAGCTCAGAAGGGCGCTGCTCCCTCCGGCCAAGTGCAGGGACAAACTGTGATCCAGAACGTCCACATTGGAGCCTGGCCTGGCTGACTACCAGGGGAAGGGGAAGGGGAAAGGGAGGAGGCCCCTTCCCTTCTAACAGGCCTGGATCTGAGGTGCCCCCTCACCAAGCCTGCCACAGAGCTGGGGCCAGGAGCTAGGAAGGGATAGCTATGCAGAGGCCCCTCTGGAGGATCCTACTTCTCCAGACCCTCTGGGGGTTCAGGAAAGGAGGGTGGCATCAAGGTGTGTGCTTACACTTGCTGACTTGAAGTAGAGGTGAGAGTGAGGCCCAGGAAGTGTGGCTGGAACCTGGAGAGCCCCCCACCCCACCCCCAGGCATCCGTCCTAGGCAAGGCAGACCTGAGGCTGCTCCCCACCCCTCAGCCCAAATACAGACTCCCACAGTCCAGAGAGGGGTCGCTGGGTCTCCAGCCAAATAAATTCCTCCGAAGAATCTGAAAGCTGAGGTCTGAGTGTCCCCAGAATCTCGGATTTTGGCCCAGAGAGGTGTCTGTTCTGTCACATCCATCTTGCCTGTGTCCAAGGCTGGCTCAGCCTGGCTCCTGTGGGCTCATCTGGGAAACGGAGAGCATCTGGTGTGGAAGCACTGCAGCCTGTGCCAGGCGGTGCTCCCCAAAGCTCTTCTGCAGGCGTCCCCCACCCAGGCACCCTTCCCTCTGGCCACGATGACCTCTCCATTGAGTGAAAGGTGCATGTGTTTGCTTTGAAAAGCCTCCACATGTGTTCAGGCCCTGTCCACCCCCTTCCAGACCAATGCAGACTGGACAGAGTGGGCTGGTGGGTCCCGAAGGACAGAGAGGCCCTGAGCCCCCTCCCAGCTTACCCAGGCAGGCCCTAGGACTGTCCTCCCCCACCGCTTCCAGGGGTGCTGATCTCAGTGGGGATATCGCCTTGTGGCCTTTGGGTCCTGGCCTGGCCTCCATCCCCCCCCCCCCCATGCTGTCTGCTGACCCAGATGTTGGGTGGGGCCAGGTGTGCAGAGCCTGACCATGCTTAACCTGGGCCAGGGATAGATGCCAGTGAGGCCTTTTTCTTTCCCTAAAAGTTAATTTCCCAAAGGTGTGGGAAAGCACCTTCAGTCTCTCTGCAAGGTGGGGGTATGGGAGAATGTTGTTACTGGTTGATCCTACTCAGCTCTGGGCTGTGACCACCCAGAGACCCTGGGTCTGCTTGCCTGCCTCTTCCTTCCCCTCTCCCCCAGGGCTCATCAGCGGAAGTGAGAGTGCCAGGGCAGGTGTGAGGAAAGACCCAGAGGCAGCCAGTATCTTTGCATCAATGTTTATTATGGGCTCTCCTGGCCAGGGGCTGGCTGGTGTGGCTCTCAGCCCTGCCCTCCTGGTCCCTCCATGCCCCCCCGAAGGCGCAGATTCATCTGCACAGTGCAGTGGGGTGTGAGGCCGTACTCCCCCAGCTGCTTCTCATCATCCAGGGGCAGCCCCTGGAAATTCAGCCAGAACTGGTGGACACTCGTTCTCTCCCGGTCAGCCACCTGCTGCTTGAATTCGGCCACCTTCTGCGTCAGCAGGACGTCGTAGGCGCTGGTGTGGCCCCTCTCGTTCCTCACCAGGATGCTCAGGGGCTTGTCGCAGCTCTGCACCACCAGCACAACCTCGCTGCCAGAGCGCAGGCCCTGGTGGGCCAGGGGAACCCCGTCCTGCAGCACTTCAGTGCTTGCCTGGACCACCAGGCGCTGCCGGAAGGCAGGCACTTGGGTCTCCTTGGTGATCAGCTCCTTCAGTTCCGACAACAGCATGGAGTCCCTCATGGGCACCCGGAATTCCTTGCTCAGCATCTTCACCCTCAGGTACCCACCCTGTGGACAATCACATGGAGCTCAGAAACCCTGGCACCACTGCACACAAGACCTTGGTCGCAGGGCAAGCTCCTAGGGCCCTGGACCCTGCTCCCTCCTGTGTCCTCTCCACCCACCAGGAGAGACCTCAAGTGCAGGAGACAGAAGCACAAGAGAGCATTCCTAGAGAAACAGCCACCCTCCTGTGACTATCTACTTTATCTCACTCAATAGCTAAGATGTCCCTCAAGGGAGCTAGAAGCAGCCACTGGGCAGAACCCACCTTCCAAGACCCAGACCTGGTGTCAGGAGGAGCCCTGGCGTCAACCTAGGAACCTGGGAGCTTAGAGCCACTCTGCTTGCCTGGCACAAGGAGGGAGAGGGTAAGGGACTGGTGCCCAGCCCACCTGCCCAGCCTGTCACCCGCCTCACCATGGCTGTGGGCTCTGATGCCTGGTCCTCCACAGGCCGTGACGACAAGGATGATGATGCGCTCACTCTCTCAGCTCCAGCTCCTCTCCGGCAGGCGCTGGCAGCTCACCCCTTTTCTGAGCCTGAGCCTCACACGTCAGAGGGTGTGTCTGGGAGCAGCCTACCAGCGACTGATTCAGCTTCAGCTTCAGTTTCAGTTTCCGTTTCCCAAAGGCTAGCCTGGGAGCCAGTGGTGGAAACAGAGCCGGAGCAGAACAGTAAGGAATCCTTGGAGGGGCCTCCCACCCACCTGATGGGACACAATGTGTGCCCCTCCCCAGGAGTGTGCATTCCAGCCCCCCCCCCAAAATGGCCTACAACAAAAGCCGTAACAACATGAAGTAATGATGAGAAAGTTTCACTTTCCATTTACCAACTTTCGAAAGTAATAAACTTGGAAAATCTTATCATGGTTAATTCAGAAATAACATAAAATAATGACCCAAACTACCCAGGGATGGTCACCAATATTTGTTCAGATTTTTTTTTTAATGAAAGAGATGTATCTTTTATTTTCTACATAAATGAACTTGTGGACATTATTGACAAAGTGAAAAGACTATCCACAGAAATGGGAGAAAATATTTGCAAATCATGTCAGATAAGGATCTAGTATCCATAATATAAAAAGAAATCTTACAACTCAACAACAAAAATATTACTCAATTAAAAATTGCATGAATAGCATGTTTCCAAAAGAAATATACAAATGGGCACAGCCTCATGAAAATATGCTCAATATCATTGGGCATTAGGGAAATGCTAAAGCCACGAGATATGATACTCCCACTAGCATGACTATAAATCATAAATAATAAAAGTGTAATATGCTAATTAGATCAGATGCCCTTCCAGGCAAAGCTGGGACTGTGAGGGAAGCCCTGGTCCCGGGTGCCAGAGGGAAGACGGTGCAGCCAGCTGCCAGCCAGGGGAAGGAAGGCCTACTCTTGCACAAATTTTGTGCACTGGGCCTCTAGTAATAATAGAACAAGTGTTAATGAGGATGTAGAGAAACTGGAACTTTCACACATTGCTGATGAAATGGCGCAGCCACTATGGAAAAACAGACGTTCCTCAAAGAGTTAAACAGCCCTGACTGGTGTCTGCGTTGGTCAGAGGGGCATCCTGTGCACCAAAGGGTCTGGTTCAACTCCCAGACAGGGCACTTACCCAGGTTTGGTTTTGGGTTTGATCCTGGGTCAGGGTGAGTACTGGCGGCAACCGATCCATGTTCCTTTCTCTCTCTCTCCCCCTTTCCCTCTCCATTTCTCTCTCTCTTGAATCAACGAAAAATATACCCTCTAGTGAGGGTTACAACAACAAAAAGTCAAAGAGTAGCAAAAAGAAAATGTTTTGAATATTGATTTTTTAGAGAGAGAGCAAGGGAGAGGGATAGAGAAACAGAGAGAAACATCATTGATGGGTGGCCTCCGGCACACCCCCTACTGGGGATCAAGTCCGCAACCTAATGAAAATCAACTAGTGACTTGGTTCCTGGGTCGACATTCAACCGCTGAGCCACACTGGCTGGGCTGAATATAAATCTTTTTTTTTTTTAATATATTTTATTGATTTTTTTTTTTTTTTTTTTTTTTTTTTTACAGAGAGGAAGGGAGAGAGATAGAGAGCTAGAAACGTCGATGAGAGAGAAACATCGACCAGCTGCCTCTTGCACACCCCCTACCTACCAGGGATGTGCCCACAACCAACGTACATGCCTCTGACCGGAATCGAACCCGGGACCTTTCAGTCCGCAGACCGACGCTCTACCACTGAGCCAAACCGGTTTCGGCTGAATATAAATCTTGATCATTCCTCCCCTACACCCCCCAAAACTGTGATAGGCACCAAAATTGTTAACAAGAACAAAAATGAAAACTTTTTAAAAATTATTTTAAGTTTATATCTTGATCCATTCCTTGCATAAATAATATTTCTGTTATTAAACACACACACACACACAAAGAGGAAAGCAAACTTAAAAGTAAACCGCAAACATTTTTTGAAACAATAAAAGAATACACAGAGAGTTAAAACGCCCCAACCTCCCCCGATGGCCATGCTTAATTAAACATGCTTTATATGTCTGACGATTTCTTTCTTTAAAAAAAAATTTTTTATTGATTTTTTACAGAGAGGGAGAGATTTAGAAACATCGATGAGAGAGAAACATAGATCAGCTGCCTCCTGCACACCCCCACCGGGGATGTGCCCGCAACCAACGTACATGCCCTTGACAGGAATCGTACCTGGGACCCTTGAGTCTACAGGCCAATGCTCTATCCACTGAGCCACACTGGTTTCGGCTCTTTTTTTTCTTTATTGAATAAGGTATTACATATGTGTCCTTATCACCTCATTGCCCCCCCTTTAAAACAGCATATTTTTCATAACTTTTCATATTTTTATATATATATATATATATATATATATATATATATATATATATATTATTGATTTTTTACAGAGAGGAAGAGAGAGAGATAGAGAGTTAGAAACATCAATGAGAGAGAATCTTCTATCAGCTGCCTCTTGCACACCCCCTACTGGGGATGTGCCCACAACCAAGGTACATGCCTTTGACCAGAATTGAACCCGGGACCTTTCAGTCTGCAGGCCGATGCTCTATCCACTGAGCCAAACCGGTTTTGGTAACTTTTCATATACTTGACTAGAGGCCTGGTACATGAATTTGTGCACAGGAGGAGTCCCTCGGCCTGGATCAGGCCAGCAGGGGAAGGGAGGGGACTGTGGGAGGGTGGTGGGCCTTGGGAGGTTGGCTATGGGAGTGCACTGACCACCAGGGTTAGCTCCTGCATTGAGCATCTGCCCCCTGGTGGTCAGTATGCCTCACAGCAACTGGTTGACCAGTCCTTTGGTAGTTCAGTCCCTTAGGCTTTTATATATATATATTATATATATAGTATGTTGAAGACTTGCACATATATAACAACAGCAGGGACCAAACACCTTCCCAAGTACTTCTCAGTCCTCGCCACTGACCCCTGCACACTTGGCCCAGGGCACCATCTCCTCTCACCTGGACTACTGTAGGTACAGTGGTCCTGCTTCTATCCCTCCAGAGTGATAAGTTGGCCGCATACAGGAACACTGGCCATTCGGGCTCCTTCTCATTTCCTTTCCTCTGGCACTTGGCTCACTCTTGCCCCAGTTCCTGGCACTGCCTATCCCTCTGTCTGGAATGTCCCCTGCACCTCACCCCACCCCCAAGATGCAGATGGCTCACTTCCTGCACCTCCTTCAAGTCACAGGCCTGAGGAGACCCTGGGTGGGAGGCCTCCCTTCCTCTCTGGAAAGGGGCTAGGCAGCACCTCCCTGCCTCAGTCTCCCCCCTGTCCCATTCTCTTGTCTGCCTCCTGGGCACTAACAGCTATCGCTGACATATGTCCAGTTCTATGTTCTGGGTGCTATCAAAGTAGGATCTCAGTCATCTTCCTAATGACCCCCGGAAAAATAGAAAGATAACCTATTGCACAGGAGAGGAAACAGGTTCGGGTTCGGGTTCGGGTTCGGGGTAGGCGCATGAGCCCAGCTGACAACTCTAAGGGAAAGAAAGCTCAGGAACAGGGCTCTCAGGCCAGTCTCTTCTGTCTGAACATCTGCCTATCTTGTCTCTGTGGGCGGCTGGGGTATTCCAGAACCCCCTCGCCTGGTCCCAGCGCCCCCACCTCCAGGAAGTGCGGGTCCCCAGCTTCTCCCCAAGACGCCTCGAAGGAGAAGGTCCAGGTGGCCCCTGGAGGTGGAGTGGAGGCCCCAGGTCTGGGAGACCTCCTTGCCAGGAGGACTATCTGAGCAGGCCCTGGGCCCATCGGCGCTGCCAGGAGGTTCTTGGTGGGCAGAGTCCCCTCTGCGGATATGTCTGTCCCCCGCGTCTTCCGAGAGCCCTACCTAGCTCCACTGGCTCCTCTGGGGCAGCAGAAGGTGGGGGTGGGGACAGCCTCACCTTGGTGAGCAGCAGCTGGGCCTGAGGCCAGTCCGGAGGCCCGCACCCCGTGTAGACACGTGTGTCGCAAGGAGGATCTGAGCGCCTCCCCCCACACCTGGCGCCCCAGACTGACCTCCAAGGGGCCGGCTTGGCTCCGGGATTCTAGAAGGCTTCTGGAGGCGGAGGCGAGCGGGACTTTGCTTTGCAGGCCTGATGGATCCCTGGCAGGTGCTGGGGCAGGACCTCCGTGGGCACCACCACTAGGTAGGCTCCCAGCAGGCGAGGGACCCTTCGGCGTAGATAGTCAGCTCTCTCTGGATCAGAAAAGCCCCTTGAGCCCCCCCCCCCCCCCAAACCCCTCCACACAGCCTAGCAGTCTTTTTTTTTTTTTTTAAACATATTTTATTGATTCTTTACAGAGAAGAAGAGAGAGGGATAGAGAGTTAGAAATATCGATGAGAGAGTATCATCAATCAGCTGCCTCTTGCACACCTCCTGCTGGGGATGTGCCCACAACCAAGGTACATGCCCTTGACCGGAATCGAACCCGGGACCTTTCCGTCTGAGCCAAACCGGTTTCGGCCAGCCTAGCAGTCTTGCATGCCGCCTACTTCCCCAAAGACCCCGGACCACCCAGCAGAAGGGCTTCGGCTCTCCCAGCAGCCCGGGCCCCCATGTCTGTCTGTCTCTTACAGGGAGCACGATTCTGGCCGGCCGCCTGCCTCCCACCGGTTAGAAGTCCCAAGGCCAGGCCGGCTGTGGACTTGGAAAACATGGGAAACAGGCCGGAGACCCCGAGGATTCAAGACTAGAGCGCTCCTGCCACACAGTTCAAAATGAAAACAACGTCAGACACGAAATCAGGCCTAGCCCAGCCCTGGCCAGTTGGGCTCAGTGGATAGATAGAGCGACGGCCTGCAGACTGAAGGGTCCGGAGGTTCGGTTCCGGTCGTGCCCTGGGTTGCAGGCTGGATCCCAGGTATGGAACCTGCAGGAGGCAGTAGATGCACGATTCTCTCTCATCATTGATACTTCTGTGTCTCTCTTCCTCTCTGAAATCAGTATTTTTAGAAAAGAAAGGAATCATAGCCCTGCTTTCCTCACTTTGCCTCTTTAAAATAAACAAAACCTTAGCTATTGTCCCTCCACGTTGCTGGTGGGGCTGACCCTGACATCACCAGCCCCATGAGTCACCCCATTGGCTCGCGTCACCCCTACCTTCACCCTGAGACAATCATCTCTGATTATCTGGGACCTCGCAGCCTCACCGGGCCAGGTTTACGTCTGTCTGATGACGTCATCCTACCTGCCGGCCTCACCCTCACTGGGCTGGTGCCGTCATTTATTGTGCTGGGACCCACCCTGACTGCTATGACCTTTGCCATCGCCCTCCCTCTTGCCCAGGGGCTGGGTCCCACGCCCACGGGTCACGGGCCATTCGTGGGCGCTGCAGGCGGCGGCATTCAGGGCGATGCCCGGCTGTGCGGAGGCCCCAGGCCCGGCGGGACCGGGATGGCGGAGCAGGAAGGGGGGTGCTGGTCGAGTTGCGTCCGTCCCCCGGACTCGGTTCCCCTCGAGGATTTCCCTTTCGGACTTCCCGCTCGGGGGAAGGTGGGCCTCGCGACCCCGCCCGGGTCCCCAGCCGGGCGCCCGGGGGGCCTCCCGCCCGAGCGCCGCTCGAGGGGCGGCAGCGCGGTTTCCCGCTCGGCCCGCGGCGGGGCCGGAGGCGGGCGGGAGAGGCCCAGCTCCCGCCCCTTGGTCCCCGCGGCGGGGCGGGGCCCACGGTGACTGACGGTTGCCGCGGGCGGCGGGGGCGGGGCCCACGGTGACTGACGGTTGCCGCGGGTGGCGGGGCGGGGCCCACGGTGACTGACGGTTGCCGCGGGCGGCGGGGGCGGGGCCTGACAGTTGCCGGGGCTGGCGGGGGCGGGGCCCAGGGTGACTGACGGTTGCCGCGGGCGGCGGGGCGGGGCCCACGGTGACTGACAGTTGCCGGGGCCGGCGGGGCCGGGGCCCAGGGTGACTGACGGTTGCCGCGGGCGGCGGGGGCGGGGCCCGGCGGGGGCGGGGCGGCCGCTCATTGGCGGCGCGAGTGTGGGAAAGAGCGCGGAGCGGGGTTCACACGCCGCGGGGGGCGCTTCCTGAAATAGCTGGAAGCGGCCGCCGGGCCTGGAGCTGCAGGACAGGACGGGGCGCCGCGCCCGCCGGCCCCGGGGCGCACGGCTCGCCATGCCGGCGGACACGCCGGGGAGGCCGGGGACCTCGCCGCGGGCAGCCGCGCTCGCCAGCGCCAGCCGAACCCCAAGCCGGCTCCGGGATGCGGCCGCGCACCGGAAGGTGGGACCGGGTCGGGCCTGGGCGGGAGGCGCCTGGGGGGACGGATGGACACGGGACTCAGCCACGGCCCACGGCCCGACCTGCAGTCCTCCAAGCCGGTCATGGAGAAGCGGCGCCGAGCGCGAATAAACGAGAGCCTCGCCCAGCTCAAGGCCCTGCTCCTGGACGCGCTGAGGAAGGAGGTGAGTCGGGAGGAGCGAGATGGGGTCCGGGGCGCGGACCTGCGTCGGGGCACTGCGGGTGCAGCCGTTCACACCGGCTCCGCCCCCAGAGCGCCCGCCACTCGAAGCTGGAGAAGGCGGACATCCTGGAGATGACCGTGAGGCACCTGCGGAGCCTGCGGCGCGGGCCGGCGGCAGGTGAGCCGCGGTGGGAGCGGGAGGGGCGGTGCGCGGGGCCGCCCGGCGAACCACCGCCTGTCCCGCTGCCTCCAGCCGCGCCGCGCGCCGACGCCGCCGTCCTGAGCAAGTACCGCGCCGGCTTCAGCGAGTGCCTGGCCGAGGTGCACCGCTTCCTGGCCGCCTGCGAGGACATCCCGGCCGACGTGCGCTCCCGCCTGCTCGGCCACCTGGCGGCCTGCCTGGGCCACATGGGGCCGCCGAGCCGCTCCGCGCCCCCGGCCCCCGCTTCGGAGGGCCCCACGCCAGAGGTCTACGTGGGCCACCCGCCGCTGCCGGGCTTCGATGGCCCCTTCCCCCCGCTGCGCCCCGAACCGGCCTTGGCGCCGCCGCTCCTGCCGGGCCTGACCCGTGCGCCCCGCGCCGCCCCCTCGGCGGGGCTGCAGGGCCGCAGTGCGCCCTGGAGGCCGTGGCTGCGGTGAGCGTCCCGTCTCGAGCCGCGGCTTTGCTGAGGCTGTAACGGGGATATTTATCTCCAGCGGCTGCAGTGAGAGTTTTGTGTTTGTTCTGTCTTTTCTGGGGAGGATCTAGTCGGGCAGCGCGTGTGGCACCAGCGCTCAGCGGCCAAGCTCCGTGCGGGTCCCGCCCCCTTCGCAGGCCCCGCCCTTTCCCAGGCCCCGCCCTCCTGACTGGTGCGCCCCGGGGCCTCCTGGGCCCGCACTTGTGTGGGAGTCAGCGGTCCGTCTTGGGGTGGGAGGGGGGTGTGAAGTCTGCAGGAGGCTCAGGCTGAAGGCGACAGTCATCACGTTTTCCAGAACACACCCCAGTGTTGGGAAGCGCCAGTCCAGTCACTGGGCAATATTTTTAAGGCGCCTGGTCCACCTCCTGCTTTGTTCTCACGTTTACCTTCTGTCCCCTCCGTGAACCGCGCCCCAGGCCAGTCTCCCCAGCAGTGGGGACCAGCTGGAGAGGGCATCTGAGTGTCCGGGGCAGGCAACTGCAGTGAGGCTGGCACAAGCACTTAGTCCGGGGCTCAGGGAGTGCGCTCCCACCAAAGTCCAATCCTGCTGTGTGCCTGGCCTTGCCCTGGGACCACCCCACCACACACACACACACACACACACACACACAGTGAGAAAGGACTGGGGGGTTCATCCTGAGTAAGTGTCCAACTGCGTGCGTCAGCGCTGCAATACAAGATTGCGACGCTAGGTGGCGTTGGACACTGGGCCAGGAGTCTGCTGGGGCCTGAGCTCCATGTGCAATGAGGGGGTGGTCCCAGGTACTTAGCCGAGACTGGAAGTGCCTGGGGCGGAGCCAAGATTCATTTCAGATGGTTGCCTGCCTGCCTGCCCGCCCGGCTGGCCGGGGCCTATCCAGGAGGAGCGTGAGTCACTGTCTGAGGCTGGCCTGCCCCTCCTTCAAGGCTCCCACATCGGTGCCCCCTGGCGGGGAATCTTCTAGTCCCCACCAGGCCAGTCCTCCCTGCTCTCTGACTGCTCTGCACTCGTGTCCCTGAGAGTCAGGGCCTGGGTCAGTGGCTTAGGATGGTGGCAGTGGTGTGGACACACACACACACACACACACACACACACACACACACTCAGTAGGCCTGGGAGGCCCTCCTGAGTAGGAGGGTTGCAGAGGGTCTGTACTGGGGGAGGGGAGCTCAGGGAGTTTGGGGTGTGCAGCCTCAGTGGGTAGGGGAAAGTCAGGGCCTGCTCAGAGCTGAGCTCATCACTTGGAACCACTCAGTCCACACTGACTTAATCGGTTAATTTGCATGAAAGCTGAAGTTAGGAAGTTTGGGGAAGGTAGTCATCCTAGTTTGGTTAGGAAGGTCTGAGAAGCAGACTGAGCTGAGGCGGCCCCATGGTGAGGGCCTGGGGAGAGGGCAGCACCAAGGCTGTCCCAGGCCTGCCTCAGGCTGTCCCTTTCTGACAACTGAGGGCAGCTGGCTCTCTGAAACAGCACCCTGGACTCCAGCTGTGGAAGGAAGCCCTCCCCTCAACCCCGCCAGCCTGGACACCTGCCTAGGCCAGTGGGGAGCTGCGGCCAACCTGTGGTGGGAGCTGGAGCCTGAACCATGGAGTGCTGTCCCTACCAGGGTCTGTCTCCCACCGGCTATTTTTATCTTGGTTTTTGTCTTGCAGACACTTCCTGCTAAGTAGTGATGAAACACCTTTTCAGGCCTGGCATGTGGAGGGCCAGGGAGGGACCAGAACTCCTTCTGGGGAGCTGCTATGTGCTCTTAGTCACTCCCCTCCATGGCAGGCAGCGTCTTGTTCTCCAGTGTCTTTGGCCTCCTTCCAGCTGGTTCCTGCAAGGGCTGTGGGTCAATAAATGTTTGCTGAGTTAATGTGCACTGTCAGCCGATCTGCCTGCTCTGGGTGCTGGAGCCTGTCAGTCCCTTTCCGTATGTCTGTCTGCCTGTAGGGCCAGGGCTTGGAGACCAGACAGTGACAGCAACTCATAGGTGTGAGCTCAGGAGAAAGAACCAGCCCAGGAGATTTTCTTTTAAAAAAAAAAATATTTTTTTTTTATTGATTTTTTTACAGAGGGAAAGAGAGAGGGATAGAGAGTTAGAAACATTGATGAGAGAATCATCGATCAGCTGCCTCTTCCACACACCCCACAACCAAGGTACATGCCCTTTAGCTGGAATCAAACCTGGGACCCTTCAGTCCGCAGGCCGAAGCTCTATCCACTGGGCCAAACCGGTTTCAGCAAGCCCAGGAGATTTTCGATGGGGGACAGGCTGGAGCAACCCCCACTGTGGTGCCGATTCTCTTCAGGCACCACCAACTTCCTCCCTTCCGAGGGGACATTTGCTCCCCAAAGCTGGGCTGGGCTGTCCTGTCCATCTCTGCCCCCTGGAGCCCCGGGGGGTTCACCCTCCTGGGGTGCACTCTTGTTGGGCAAAGAATCCGTCCTGGGCTTGCAGTCTCCCCGAGGCCCCCAGTGACCTCCTCCTGGTATTCAGCTCCTGCAGAAATGACGGACTGTCTCTTCAGGATAAGGTTGCAGGTGCTGCCTGCGCTCTGTCTGTCTGTCTGACTGACAGCGTTCACTCTGGGGAGAACTGCTGTGCTTTGCTGTGAAGAAGGCAACCCAGAGTGGCCTCGAGACCTGCAGTCACTGCCACGACAGTCGGCTCAGTGGCAGGTCCTCTGGCACCAGCCAGCCCTCAGACAAGCCCCAGTTGCAGCGACAGTCAGGGCTGCTCCTGGGAGTCCCTGAGCCAGAATCCCGGAGCCCCTGGCCTTCAGACACTGAATGGAGAATGAATGCTGGTCATTAATAATTTAGGTTAATCTGTTATGCTAAATTGGTAACAAGAAATTTTATATAAAATCTAAGATAAATGTAAATAATGATAGCAATAAACACATGCCCATGGCCAGCCAGGATGACCCCTGCTGAGCTCTTGCAAGGATGGGACTGTGGGGGAGGACTGAGTGCGAGTGGGAAGAGACACAGCCCTGCAGACAGACAGTCAGACACAGGGGGGCTTGGCCTGACTTCGATCTGGAAGCGGGTTCGAAGTGAGCCTCGATGGTGGATGCAGCCCCTGCCACCTGGGTGCTGAGCAGCAACAGCTCATGCCACCCCTGTGCGTCCAAGAAGGGCTGGGGGCGTTTCTATGGCAGTAACTGGTGGAGCACCCTCAATTGGAACGGGTTGAGGGTGCACAGGCCTCAGGCGTCAAATGAAGACAGCACAGCCACAAACATGTCCACGACACAAAGACCCGTCTGCAGCCTGGTAGCCAGGGTTACCAACTCAACTCAACAATAATAAACAAGATTTTAAAAACCACTTAAAGATGCATGAAGAATCTGAACAGACAGTAAGCACATGAAAAGGTGCTCAGCATCATTGTCCATCAGGGAAATTTAAAACCACAAAGAGATGCCGCTTCACACTAAGATTGCTATAATTAAAGAGACAGTAATAAATGTTAGGAGCTTGTGGAGAAATTGAAACATGTTTTTGGGAAGAATGTAGAATGGGACTGACCAGTGTGGCTCAGTGGTTGAACATCAGCTATGAACCAGGAGGTCATGGTTTGATTCCTGGTCTGGGCACATGCTTGGGTTGTGGGCTTGGCCCCCAGTGTGGGGCATGCTAGGTGATTCTCATCATTGATGTTTCTCTCCCTCTCCCTTCCTTTCTGAATATCATTAAAAAAAATTTTTTTTAAGTATAATGGTGCAGCCACTTAATTTTTTAAAATAAATATTGTTGAAAGAATTATATATGTCCCTTCCCCCACCTCCTCCAGCCTGCCCCCACCCACCCCAGGCCTTCACCACCCTATTGTCTGTGTCCATGGGTTAGGTGCAGCCACTTTAGAAAAAGTCTGGAAGTTCCTAAAAGATTAACTGTAGGGTTACCATGTGCCCCAGAAATTCCATTCCTGGGCCTGGACCCACAGTAAATGAAAACAAATGTGCACAGAAAAGCATGTGCAGTATTTTATATAATAAAAGCTTAATGTGCTGATGGACCGGAATGACTGGTCACTATGACATGCACTGACCACCAGGAGGCAGACACTCAATGCAGGAGCTGACAAAGCAACACTCAGCTTCCCCCAAGTGGGACACAGGCCCCACCACCACCCCAGAGTAACTATCCACCAAATAGCATCCAACGCCATGGTGCAAGATTATTAAAAAGGTCAACTATTGCTACAACGTAGCTGTGAAGCTGAAGCCAGTGACATTGACAGAATGTATCTGAAGACCAACTATTGGCACAACATACCTCTGAAGCAGAAAGAAAGCGACATCGTAGACAGAATATGTCTGAAGAACAGTCCTCGACAAGTACTACCAATACTGGTAGGAAGTGCCTTCATAGCGAAAATGAGGTAAATGAGGGTGCAATTATCAAACACATTCTGGTGGAATGACTGTCACACGTCAATGTTGCCTATCCCTAAATTTCTCCAGTGAAAAACCATCCAGATGAAAAATTTACTCAATGTTGTAGCAAAGGCAAAGTTTGTCCAAATGACATAAATTTTCCAGAATACCTGATATATTTTAAAAAATTAATGATAAATGAAGATTCTGACAGTAAAATTTTAATGGAAAATATTTGTTGTTATATCATGTTATTGTTTTTTATTAATCAATTTATATTTATTTTCATGTACATTTTACTAATTTCATCTCTTGATACTGCTATTATAGAGAAAGGATGAATAGCAATATTAAAATATTTCTTCTAATTAATTTTGTCAATGTGCATGAATTCATGCACTGGGCCACTAGTTATTCACAATAGCCAAGAAGTCAACATAATCCAAATGTCTGTCATCTGACAAACTGAATGGATAAATAAGTGTGTATAGCCATGCAAATGAATGTTATTTGACAATAAAAAGGTATGAAGTACTGAAACATGCTACATACAACATGGATGAACCTGGAGAATACTATGCTCAGTGAAAGAAACCGGTCACATAAGACCACATATTGTATGATCCCTTTTATCTGACATGTTTAGAATATGTGAATTGACAGAAACTAGATCAGTGATTTCCTGGAGCTGGGGGGAGGTTGAGGGGAATGGGGAGTGATGGAAATGTTCTAAATTTGATTACAATAATGGCTGCACAACTAAATACCATTTATCATTTACTTTAAATAGATGGGTTGTATGATGTGCGAACCATGTATTGATAAACCTGCTGACCTCCTCCCTACAGAAATAGCCATAGAGAGAAAGTTCTAAGAGCTGCTAGAGAAAAAAGAAGCGTTATACACAGAGGGACAAAGATAAAATGACGGCAGATTTCTATTTTATTTATTTATTTTTAATATATTTTATTGATTTTGTACAGAGAGGAAAGGGGAGAGATAGAGAGTTAGAAACATCGATGAGAGAGAGTCATCGATCAGCTGCCTCTCGCACACCCCCCACTGGGAATATGCCCACAACCAAGGTACATGCCCTTGACCGGAATCGAACCAGGGTCCTTCAGTCCCCAAGCCGATGCTCTATCCGTTGAGCCAAACCGGTTTTGGCGACGGCAGATTTCTTGTTGGAAAAATGCATGTGAGGAGACGGTGGAACATCTTTAAAGTACTAAAAATGAAAACTATCCCTTAGAACTCTGTAAGTAGACCCACCCCTCCCTATGCAGTTGGTTAATCATCAACAAAGGTGCAAAGGTAATTCCCTGGAGAACTAAGAGTGTTTTCAATCATTGGACCAAGTAGTCATCTATATGCAAATAAAATCACCATGCCTCACACTATAGGCACAGATGAACTCAAAACAAATCATAGTTCTGAATGCAAAACCCGAAACTATAAAACTTTCTTGAGAAAACTTAAAACATTTTTGTGACCGTTGGTTAGGCAATGATTTCCTAGATCTGATAAAGAAAAAAAAAATCCACGGAAGAAAAATGGATAAATTTAAAAATATATATTTTTATTGATTTCATAGAGGAAGGGAGAGAGAGTTAGAAACATCAATGATGAGAGAGAATCATCAATCAGCTGTCTCCTGCACACAGCACACTGGGGGTCAAGCCCGCAACCTGGGTCGACCCAGGTTGATAGGCTGACACTCAACCATTGAGCCATGCTGGCTGGGGCACCGATAAATTTTTAACTTCTGCTCCTCAAGGGACATTGTTAAGAAAATGAAAAGATGCCGAAGCCAGATTGGCTCAGTGGATAGAGCGTCGGCCTGCAGACTGAAGGGTCCCAGGTTCAATTCCAGTCAAGGGCATGTACTTTGGCTGCAGGCACATCCCCAATAGGGGGTGTGCTGGAGGCAGCTGATCGATGTCTCTATCTCATAGATGTTTCTAGCTATCCCTCTCCCTTCCTCTCTGTAAAAAAATCAATTAAATCAATTAAAAAGAAAAAGAGCCGAAACCGGTCTGGCTCAGTGGATAGAGCATTGGTCTGCGGACTGAAAGGTCCCAGGTTCGATTCCATTCAAGGGCATGTGCATTGGTTGTGGGCACATCCCCAGTAGGGGGTGTGCAAGAGGCAGCTGGTTGATGTTTCTCTCTCGTCGACATTTCTAGCTCTCTATCTCTCTCCCTTCCTCTCTGTAAAAAATCAATAAAATATATTAAAAAAAAAAGAAAAAGAAAAGATAAGCCATAGAGTAGCAGGAAACATTTGCAAATCACACATCTGATGAAGAAGATTCAAAGATCTCTCAGGAGTCAGCAAGAAGAAAAGAACTCACCCAGTTAAGAAAATGGGCAAGAGATCTGAGTCATCGTACAGAAGAAACTTATGGCAGAAGCAAAACTAAACATGAAGGCGTACTCCGCATCACTAGTCAGCAAGGAAGTTCAGGTCCCAGCCAGTGAGGCACCTGGACGTGTACTGATGACAGAAGACTGGCCACGCCTGCCATCGAGGATGTGCCTCACACACTGTTGCTGGGAGTGACAGCTAATCCTATTGGAAGACAGTCTAGCACTTTCTTAGAAAGTGAAGGGTATTCTTGCCCTGTGACCCCATCTTACGTTTTTACCCAAGAGAAATGGAAGCCCACCTCTACCCAAGACCCAGACACAGCTTTATATAGACTATTCCCAGACCAGAGATAACTCAGAGGTCCATCAGCGGGTGAACGGAAATACCAACAGTGTAGCCAACAACGGGACACTCCACATTAAAAAGTACACCTATGGCCGAGACCGGTTTGGCTCAATGGATAGAGCGTCGGCTTGGGGACTGAAGGGTCCCGGGTTCGATTCCGGTCAAGGGCATGTACCTTGGTTGCGGGCATATCCCCAGTGGGGGGTGTGCAAGAGGCAGCTGATCGATGACTCTCTCTCATCAATGTTTCTAACTCTCTATCTCCCTTCCTCTCTGTACAAAATCAGTAAAATATATTTAAAAAAATAAATAAATAAAAAAAATAAGTACACCTATGGATGTGCACACTGGTGTGTACGGATCGCAAAATAATTATGCCGAGTGACAGACACCAGACGAGTCTTCTTGTCATGGGAGGGAACAAACGCCTGACCCATTTGCATAAAATTCCCAGGGGAGGCGGTTCCAGGCAGAGGAACCTTCAGGGATGATGGGCCCTTCACTCTGTGGATCGAGGTGAGGGCTTCCTGGGTGTATACCTGCCGAATCGCAGCGGATTTTACACTTTAAATATGTGAAGTTTGTCGTGTATATATTATACCTCATTAAAATGATTACCATTTTTAAAGTAAAAAGCCCGTAATCTGTGGAAAGCATTTAAGAGTGTCCGGCATGGAATAGCTGCTCATTGAAAGCTGGCTCTTGTTTTGGGGTATTTACAGTCTCACAGGGGCTACAAACCTTCAAAAGGGGGGCGTGGCACCCCAGAAGTGTACAGCCCTCTCCCACCCCCTACCCCACAGTGCTCTGCGGGCTTCCCGTGGGAGTCTTGTGTCCTCTGGTGGCCGCCAGGGGTAGCGCAGGCTGCCGTTCACTGCCTCTTTCTGATACTGCTTCCCACTGTGGCTTTGTGTTCCATCCACAGAATCGCTCCCTCCCGCCCAGGTGCTGGTCTCCGCAGAGAAAGCCTCCATGGAGGAGCTGTGTCAGTGTCCCAATGACCTGCGGTAGCTCTCCTGTTTTCCTTGCGGCCAGACCTCCCCGGGGCCAAGCAGGTCTCCGAACAGCTGGTTTTCAAAAGGCCTTCTCCTTGCATGGCCTCCAACCTTGCCCACCGCACTCCTCAGAGCTCGGAGCCAGCCTCCCTGCCTCCTGTGATCCTGTATTCTCTCCTTCCAGGGCCGCCAGCAGTTGTCAGAGAGCGCTCCCCTGGTGGGAGCCCATGTTTGCCTGGACATGCAGTCCACATATGTGTGTGCACAGAGTGAGACCCGGCCCTGGGTGTCCACAAGAAACAAAGGGACAGGACACTCCATCACCCACCATCCTGGGGGGCTTCAGCACCCGCTGGGTCGCAGGTCCGATGGGAGAGGTAAGGTAGTGATGCTTTAAAAGGGAACAAGCCACCTTCTCCACACCTGCAAGGCTTTGGGGTAGGCAGGGAACTCAAGGGGACAGAAAAGTGATCACCACCAAGGAAACTGTGGACAATTTGGACTGTGCTAAAATTTGAATTTTATCCCTTTAAGTTGCTGTTCATCCAAAATAAAGTAAAATAAATTTCTGTTCATCCAAAGGCATCGTGAAGAAACTGAAAAAGTGAGACAGAGAGATAATCAAAGTGCAAACATTTAATAAGATGCATATCCAAAGTGTGTGAAAGCTCCCACAAATGAGTAAGGAAAAGGCCTAGAGAGTGGCGAAAGCCCTGAGGAGACGCTTTGGATGGCCAGAGCCTTACTGCTATCGAGGAGGTGTGTGCCCAGAGGAGGCAGGTGTGGGCACACCGTCCCAGACTGTCTAGTCCCTGGTGAATGCAGGACCCCCCCAGGAGGACCGCTAGCAGGCCCACCGCCTCTGACCATGCACTCTACAAAACCATGGACACACGTTTGCCAAAAGGATATTCCTGGCTAGTCACCACATTGCTGTTGATTATTAGCTGCAAATGGAAAGCAACCCAAGCCTCAGCCCAGGATACGCTTTTTGGTGAGCGCCTGGCAGGCCCTGACGGCCCAGCCCCCAGTCCCCAGCTCCAGGGATAGGGAAAGAAATGACCGTGAGATAACACACTTTGTACAGACTGGTCTCTGCCCCAGTTTCTGGCCCCGAGCTCTGGAAACCCTGTCATGTCCTGGATGGCAGGAGCACCAGCAGAATCTGGTCCCGTGAGCAGCTCTGGTGAGCCCTGCATTCCCGAGAGCGGGGACAGGCTGAACCCAGAGTGAATGACCGACCGGCCCCGGGTAGTCTGCTGTCTACCCGGGGGGCTGGAGTGAGTGGGAAGGGCAGCTGCTGGTTGGTGGCACTCAGGACACGGAAGCCCTGCCCCTTCCACTTGCCACGCCCAACGCATCACTTCCATCCGTGATCATCTGTGTCCATTGTCACATCTATTTATAATCAGCTGGCAAATGTGGGTGTTTCCCTGAGTTCTATGAGCCACTCCAGCTACGGAGCCCAATCCAAGGGGCAGCAGCCATGGGAACCTCTGATTTGTGCCAAGTCAGACAGATGTCCGGGGCCTGGAGTCCAAGGGGCAGCCTTGTGGGACAAAGCCCTTAAGCTGGGATCTGAGTCTCTATGGCAGGCAGGCAGCGCCAGGATGCACTGAAATTGGTGTGCGAAATCCCCACGCCTGGACCTGGTGCAGAGCTCTGTGTGACCAGGAAGGAGCCCCAAGGAGACACAGGTGTGGACGGGCTCGGAGGGTGACCTTCCCGGGCCAGGCTCACCTGCCCAGGAGCACAGAGCCTTCCCGTGAGGCGTCTGGCAGTGGCCACGCCATTTGTTCCCTGGAGTGCTTCCTGAACACCTGTCACATGGAATCGTTTGCCGACACTCAATGCCCATTCTGGCGCATCCTTGCAATGTCTCCACTGTTGCCCTCGCAGCTCAGTCCTGCTGTCCCCGCTGTCCCCCCTGTCCGCTCCCCCAGGCCTGTCCCTCGGCCTCACAGGGTTTCCGTCCCATGACGTGGGCTGTTGGGAATGGTCTTCCCTGGGTGCCCACATGCTGTCTGCCTGCTGCTCCCTCCTGTGCTCTCAGTGACCTGCCCAGGGGAAGGCAGCACAGCCCCAAGCCCAGAAGGTCAGGAGCCCGGCCCACAGCAGGGGCTTTGGGACCCAACTCTGCCACTCGCTGGCTGTGTGGCTTACCCTCTCTGTGCCATACCCAACTCTCCTGTGAAAGAGGGTCCTCCTGGCACCCCCGACCCACCAGGAAGGTGTCCCTCAGGGTGGACAGTGATTGGCAAAGTGCTCAGGGGGGTCCTGGCAGGACCTGCTGCTCACCAGCTGTGTCAGAGGCATGTCACCCCGCCCCGCTCCTGGGGACTGGCTCACCTGGGGTGGTGGCATCTGATGACCTTTCCTGCACCCCTGTCTGGGGTCCCATCCCCAGGAGCCTATGTGGGAAGATGCTGGTAGTAGTGACCCCCTTTTCCTTCCTGACCTCTCCAGGGGCCCAGGGGCCATGCCCATTTGGGGTGCCCTCCAACTGGAAGCCTTCAACAACTCCACACGTCCCCCACATTCCCCACAGGATGGGTAGTGCTGCGGGGGAGGTGTCTGCACCAATCACCTCCAGAGGACCTGGAGGAACATTCTGGAATCCATCATTTCCCACCGTGTCACTCTAATCCCTCCATTCCCCACATGCATTAGGACAAAGCCCTAAGACTCAGAGGTTCTGGACTGGCCTGGGGGGGGACAGAGGGTGGGGGAATGGGAGGCGGAAAAAGTCCCCCAGCAGTGGGGTCCCTTTAAGAAGAAGGAGCAGCTTTCAGCCAGGCAAAGAAAAGCCACGTGCTGATTGCTGGTCAGCATTCTCTGGCCAGAGTCCGACCTGACCAGGAAGGTGTCCCTCACGTAGCTGGAGGCCCCTCAAATGCCATCTATTTGTGGCCTGGGCCCTGCTGGCAGGCTGGAGACATGTGACCCTGGGATGGGTATTTTTGGCTGTGGGGGTGGGGCTGCATGGCGAGCCAGCACCAGGCCAGGGACAGGCAGCTTAGACGCCCAGCGCTGCTGCTTGGCTGCTGCGGGGTCTCAGGTACGGCAACAGCAGCCCCTCGTTCCCGCCCTGAGGGGTCCCCGAGGCAGACAGCCCCCAGGGACCTTCCCTAGAGCTAGAGAGGAGGGTGAGGTTCAGGGTCAGGCAGCCACCTCAGTGCCTGGGGTCCAGCGTCTCCACCGCAGAGACAGAAGGGCAGTCCTCAGGGGTTGAGGGGTTGGAGACGCTCCAGCCAGGGTCACCTTGGGTCACGGAGACGGGCAGGGGGAGGGGCGCATCCTTGTCGGGGACACAGACCCTAAGGATGACCGAGGGGGCAGGAGCTCCTTTCTGTTCTGGGGCCTCCTCCCTAGGCTCTTGCTGGGGACCCACGAGCACTCTGGCCAGCATCGGCGTGACCAGCGTGCGCTCAGAGGAAGCCCAGCAGCCTGTCCCAGCCAAGGCTAGGGGAAGGTCATCACCCAAGGCTGGTCACCTGCTGGATATTGTGGCCCCGCCCCCATGGCCAAGTGCCACCTGGGGCATGCTGGGACAGTCCAGGACTCCCCACAGCCACGCCGGCCTGTCCAGAGGAAAGTTGGAGGGTAAGGCCGACCCAGCTGAGCAGGAGATGCTTGGAGACGTGAAGGAAAGCCACTTCTGGGGTTGAAAAATCTACACACGAGGATCCTACTTCTTCGTGCCCCTCACTGATCCAGAGCGCGTTTGGTGGAAGGAATGTGACCACGTGTCGGAGAGTTGCCACAGGGGGTCAGTTTGGAAGCAGAGACGGTGGGGCTGTAGCTGTTTGGACCTGGAGGAAGCAGCCAGCTGCCGTCTGCATCCTGCTCTGCTGGCCTGCAGGTTGGAGATGCCAGCCCAGTGCTGAGCCAGGGCAGAGAGGTGCTGGCAGACAGGCAGGGGGTGAAGACCCCGGCCCTGCTGCCCGAGATGGAGAACTTCCAGTACAGTGTCCAGCTGAGTGACCAGGACTGGGCTGAGTTCTCAGCCACCGCCGAGGAGTGTGGCCTCCTGCAGGCTAGCCTGGCCTCTGGGGATGAGCTGCTGTCCAGTGACATTGACCAAGGGGACAGCAGCGGAAGCAGTCCCCCTGGGCCTCGGCCCCTGCTCGGGGGGAGTGGCTGGCCTGGCTTCGAGGAGGAGGACCGGGCGGCCACGAAGCAGCTGGTCAGCAGGTCTTGGCAGGAGCCCACCCTGGCCCTGGGGGCCGGTCAGCAGATGCCCAGCACGTCAGCACAGTCAGAACCCCGGCCGTCCCTCAGCTTGGGCGCCGCCTCTCCCAGCCAGAGCGTGTCCCTCCAAGGGCTAGTGCCTTCCAAAGACGAGATGCAGAGGCTTCTGCAGGGGCCAGCCCCCCGGGACCCTGCCCCTCGACCCCCTGGTGAGCCTCCTCCAAGCCCTGAGTCCCCAGGCCGCAGCCCTCTGCCCCAGAGGCCCCCCAGCAGCCCTGGAGCCCTAGCCCGAAGCCCCAGCAGAAAGAAGAGGCGCGCTGCTGGTGCCAAGGGGGGTGGGCGCTTGAGTGCCGCGGGCTCTGCTCCCACCTCCCCGCTGGGCTCCCCGCTGCTCCCTGAGGCCAGGCCCAAGGAGGGCCGAGGCCCAGCTGGGTCCGGGGGGCAGGGCCCTTCAGCTGGGTCGGCCGAGCCGACAGCAGGAGCCGGGCAGGACGAGCGGGGCCTGGAGTCTGCAGGGGCCTCCGAGCAGGTGGCCTGGCCGGGACTGGATTTGTCTACACCTGTCCTCACGACTGAGCAAGGTACGGACCCACTCAGCATGACCCCTGGAGCTGGGCCACTCGCCGTGGCCACACCTGCCCCAGAACCTGGTCCAGATTTCTTAATGGCTAAGTCAGACCCAGTTCTGTCTACACCCAACTCCAAAACTCATTCTACCACGGCTCTGTCTACACCTGCCTCCAAGCCTCATCCTGATATGGCTCCGTCTGCACCCATCTCCAAGCCTCATCCTGATATGGCTCCGTCTGCACCCATCTCCAAACCTCATCCTGATATGGCTCCGTCTACACCCACCTCCAAGCCTCATCCTGACACAGCTCCGTCTACACCCGCCTGCGAGCCTCATTCTAACACGGCTCTGTCTACACCTGCCTCCAAGCCTCATCCTGACAAGGCTCCGTCTGCACCCACCTCCAAGCCTCATCCTGACAAGGCTCCGTCTACACCTGCCTGCGAGCCTCATTCTAACACGGCTCTGTCTACACCCACCTCCAAGCCTCATTCTACCACGGCTCTGTCTACACCTGCCTCCAAGCCTCATCCTGACAAGGCTCCGTCTATACCCTCCTGTGAGCCTCATCCTGACACGGTTCCTTCTACACCCGCCTCCAAGCCTCATCCTGATATGGCTCCGTCTACACCTGCCTGCGAGCCTCATTCTAACATGGCTCCATCTACACCCGCCTCCAAGCCTCATCCTGATATGGCTCTGTCTACACCCACCTCCAAGCCTCATTCTAACACGGCTCTGTCTGCACCTGCCTGCGAGCCTCATTCTAACATGGCTCTGTCTACACCCCTTTCCAAGCCTCATCCTGACAAGGCTCTGTCTGCACCTGCCTGCGAGCCTCATCCTGACACGGCTCCATCTATACCCACCTGTGAGTCTAGACTGGATGTGGCCCTGACCCCACCGGGCAGAAAGGTCAAGCCGCAGGTGGACTCATCTGCACCTGCCTCCAAGGCAGAGTCTGATGTGGGTGCTTCCACCCTGGCCCCCATCCCCCAGAACAGGCCTGACACAATGGAGGCCAAGGGCGCCCCACAGGCCAAGTTGGATTTGGGCTCAGTGGGATCTTCAGGAGGGCGCCAAGAAAAGCCCAGAGGGGGGCCCTCCGAAGGTGCCCCTGGACACCCCTCGGGGGCGCCCCCCCCAGGGCCTGTCCCAGGCAGGAAGAAGAAAGTGCGGTTCTCTGTGTCTGAGCCCAGCCCCCAGGAGCCAGGGTCAGAGGAGGCCACGCGCCCCCTCTCACCAGCCACAGCTGGGCCCTCGGCCCCCAGGATGGCCGCAGGGGGCCGTGGGGGGCCTGGAGCTTGGGATGCAGTGGCGGTTGGGCCCAGGCTTCCCCAGCCTCGGATCCTGAAGCACCTGCCCCCCCCTGCCGCCTTTGGCTCGGGGGGGCCTGGGTATAAAAGCTGTTTTGCTGTGACTGTCCCTGAGGCCTACGAGTTCTTTTTTTGTGACACCATTGAGGAGGTGGATGAAGAGGCTGAGGAGGAGGCAGAGGCTGGCGAGGGCCAAATGCAGTGGCCAGAAGTGTGTGAGTTCTTCTTCCGGGACAGCCGAGCCAAGAGGTCTGGGCCCCGGGGGGGCCACTCCCCGGCCCCAGCCCCAGAGGCCAAGCCTGTGCCAGCCCCTCTGCCCGGAGACCCCGAGCCCATCTCCTTCCCGGAGGCCTATGAACACTTCCTTGGAGAGGACAAGCTGGAAGACGTGCTGGGGCCCGCTGCCCTCCTCCAGCTGCAGGCCCAGGAGGCCCCCACAACGGGGCCCCAGGAGGTGCAGCCTGGCCCTGCACTGGAGCCCAGCCCAGCGGCCATAGAGCAGCTCGACCTGGTGCTCAGGCAAGCAGGTGCGTGTCTCGTGGGCCCCATGGCCTGTCCAGGTCCTGGGAACACACTGTCCAGGGATGTCAGCCAGGAAGCCATATCGGGGGTGGGAGAGGCAGGCCAGGAGGTTGGTCTAGGCCAGGGGGAGGCCTCAAGGAGGATCTTAGAAGGAAGGAGCAGTTCCTAGCCATCCCAGGACACAGTCCAGGTGGGGAAGCCCAGGTCACTCAAGGGTTTGGCTGTGCAACGACCGTCACCCTGAGTTCAGGCCCAGATGACTTGACATCCTTGCCCCCGGCCTCCAGCAGGGCACTGGGCACTCGGTGGACTTGGTCTCACATTCCTTCATGAAGGTAGTTTAGGAACAGGAAGTGGTGCCCAGAGGCAACTGGCCCAAGTTGGCCTGACTCAGCTGTGCCACACGCTGCCTGTGTCTTGGAACAGAGGCATCACGGGGAAAATGTGACTCAGACATGTCCAGGCTAGTCATGTCTCCAGACAGACATGTGCAGGAAAGACGTGTCTCCAGACAGACATGTGCAGGACAGACGTGTCTCCAGACGGACATGTCCCAGGATAGACGAATCTAAGGGAGCAGCTGGAGCTCAGACTGCTTTTCTTTCCTAGGGGAGTCCTGGGGTCCCCTCGCCTCGTTTACCTTCAGCCAGAAGGACATGTGCCTGGTGTTTGTAGCCTTTGCCACGTGGGCTGTGAGAACCTCAGATCTGCACACCCCAGACGCCTGGAAAACAGGTTTGAGGGCCCTGGGCGGAGTGGGGGTGGTGCCCAGAAGTCAAGTGGAGGGGCCAGCAGGGGTCAGGGTGCTTGGGAGACAGAAATGTCTTCCCTGACCTTGCTCCTCTCGTTGCTGACCCACGGCTCACCCCACTGGCTTCCTCTCACCCTTCGAGGCCAGCCCCGCAGGTGTAAGTGGTGACCAGGCCAGGAGCCGGCACCCAGGCAGCTCTTGCTTCCCTTGCAGTTCTGCTGGCCAACATCGGCACCATCTCTGCCATCCGCTACTTCCGCCGGCAGGTGAGGCAGGGACGCCGAAGCCCCAGCCCCTAGGAGCCAGACTCAGCCCAGGAAGTCGCAGGACCAGGAAATGGCCACACGTGCTCAGGCCAAGGTGCTGCCCTCTGGCCTTGCCCTTTGACCTTTGTGTTACGCGGCAGCATCTAGAAGGAGCCAGCGTCCTTGGTCCTGGCTGTTTTGGACTCCACCCGAGGCTCAGGCCAGTGGCCGAAGCCCAGGCTGTGCCCGCACCTGGGAGGGGAGACTGGGAAGGTTGGGTGGCTGGGGTGCAGCAGGGAACTGGTTAGGAAGGTGGCCAGATTAGCAAATAAGCAGTGTCCAGTAAAGCTGGAAGTTCAGACAGGCAGTCTGAGAGAGCTTATACTAAGAAATTACTTGTGGTTTCTCCAAAATCACATGGAACCGGGCCTTTGTATTGGGTCTGATTATCAGTTAGATGGTGAGAGGCAGGATGGAGCAGGAAATCAGCGGGTGTCCAAGCACCTGGAGACGGGGCAGGCGCGGGGCGGGGCTGGAGGGCCTTTTTGGCCTGTTTGAACCTGAACCCAAGGGCCTGTGCCAAGGCCTCCTGGCTGCTGCCCGAGACAAGGAGCAGGTACTTGGAGGGGCTTCAGGAAGGTGAGCCCAGTGGCCCCTGTGGGTGGGGGTCTGTAGGGCAGAGCCTGGAGCCCCTCCTTGGGAGAGTCCTGGACGAGGTTCCAAGCAGAGTTTCATGGAGTCAGGCTGAGAAATGGAACACTGAGCTTGTCCCGGGGCTGAGAGGAGCCAAAGGGAGGGCAAAAGGGCGGGCAGGGGCAGCTGGGTGCTGGAAGGGATCCAGACAGATAGTGAGCATAGGTCCTGGGGCCACAGGGCCTCCTGGCTGTGAGTAAAGAACGTGTGGACACAGACAAATAAAATCTCCTTCTCTTCTTTCTTCTTTAGTCGTTTGTCCCTTTCTCCTGAGCAATGCCACCCACCCACATGGGCAACCTCCTACCTCTGACCTTGCTGACATCGGTTCCTCATGACCTCTGACCTCACATACTCTGACTCTCCATAACCCAACTTCCTCAGCCCTCTGACCTTCACCTTCATCCCTGCTCCATTCTCCCACTCCCAGGTGAAGCCCCTCAAGCCTCTCCCTCACTCTTTCCCTGGGGGCCAAGGCTCAGCCCCTCTGGGCATCGTGCCCTCGTCTGTGGCTCAGGGCACTAGTCAGGGCATCCTGGGGAGAAGCTGTCCCCCTAGCCCCTCCAGATCCTACAAAGCTCAGGGTTCTGGAGATGCCCCTCCGCCCCTTGGGGTCAGACCCTGACTGGCTATCGGGTGGAGGTGGTTGGCTGGAGGCCCCACAAAGAAAGCCCAGGCCTTGCTGGAGAACCCCCCCCGAGTCGACATTGGCAGGTGGGCCTGAGAAGCGGCTCAGATCCACTGCGTGAGTCCCCCCTCAGCCTCAGGTGCTTCTCGGGGCCTCCGCTGGCGGGAGGGAGATGGAGCCTGGTCCCAGATTTTGTCAAAGCTCCTGGGGGGTCCGCCATCTGGTGGGAGAGCAGAGGTGTGTGTGTCTTCAGGAAGTGCCACCCGAGCTCCCCCCAGGAGACAGGGCCTCTCACTCACCTGGGGGAGGCAATGGGGGGTCGGGCGAAACTTCCCTGGGAGGAGAGACCTGGGAACCCAAACACAAGTGTGAGAGCCATGCCCTGGGGAAGGGCTTGGAGACCAGCCCATGAGCTGCCCCAGTATCCTGCTCTGCATCTCCTACTCCTGGGGGGCCCCCAGGGCCCCCAGAACCCGTGCCCAGGTGCGGGCGGCTACTCACGAGCTGAGGAGAGTCTGGGGGCCGGGCCCCACGGCCCCCGATGGAGCCCCGGTGCCGCTGAGAGGCCCGGGGCTGCAGCACTCCCTTCCTGGAGAGCAAGTGGGGGCCGGCGACTCCAGAGCTGGGGCCGGAGAGAGGCACAGACACGGGCACGGAGGGGAACGGGCTCGAGGGTTCGGGTCCAAGCGAGCTCTTCACTGCAGCGAGGAACTGCCAGGGAAGTGTCGGTGGGTGACTGAGGCCCTGGGCTGGGCCCCCTGCCCGCAACCCCGTCGCCTGAGCAGACCTCAGGCTGCCTCTAAACCTCAGGCGGTGGCAACCTCAGACCCAGGGGGAGGGGCATAGTCTAGACCAGCTGTCGCCAACCAGTGGCCCGTGGAGGCCCGAAAGGTTGGCGACCACTGGTCTAGCCTCCCAGCAGCAGGCTAGGGCACAGCTGGCCCTTCTGTCCCCAGCAGGGCACTGACCTCACCCAGGCCCCGGACGTCTCTGACTTTGTGGTGGGAGGTGGCAGGTGGTGTGTAGGGGTCGGCGTAGAGGGGGGAATGAGGTGTCTCCAGGGAGTGGTCTGAGGTCTCCGGGCCACCCTCCAGGCTCGGCCTGGTCAGCTGCAGGCAAGAGGGAGAAGAGACAGGGTTCCAGTAGCGGACCACTCCATGGCCTCCCTCCTCAAGAGAGGATCCTAGGTGGTTCCAGGACCTTCCGGGCCCAGGAGATAGAGGCCAGGAAGGTGCAGGCAGAGGAGAGCCAGGCTCAGGGCTGGGTCAGTGTCTGGGCCCACCTTGGTCAGGTCCAGGTGCAGCGGAGTGGCTGGGCCAGGCCGCTCACCCCGGGCCTTGCTCCTGGGTGACCGACTGCTGCCGCCCCGTCTTAGCTCTGCCTTCTGCCCACTGACGCTGGTCCAGCCAGGGTTGGCCTGGTCCTGCGGGAAACAGGACCTTCCAGAAGGTTCCCGGGGCCCTCTCCCACACAAACCTCTGAGTCCCCTTCCCCAGGAGTTGGCTTCCTGGGAGGGAGGGTGCATGCAGCTACCTGGCTCCCCATCACAAGCTCACCTCATGGCCCCTGCCCCTACCCCCAGACACTCACAGATACAGGCTGGGCAGGGCAGCCAGCTCTGGACGGAACTGAGCACTCGGGGAGGGAACGGCTGGTGCGGTTAGAGTGGGGTGCTGGGTACCCCGAGTCCCAGCTGGTCTGTCCATCTGAGGAGAGTGAGCCTCGGCCACTGCCCAGGACCTGGCAGTGGGTAGGGGATAGTAAGCCCAGTGGCAGGATCCTTCTCCCCACTGACCCACATCCAGTCACACCCTCTGCCCTTCTGTTTCATCACTGCCCCCCAGGACCTGCTGACCCTCACCTGGGGGGACGCCCGCAGCCCCGGGAAGCCCTCTGGGCCGGGCAGCAGGGGCGCTCCCTCCCGGTGGGAGATGGTCTGCAGGCAGAGCAGCCAGTGGCTGTAGTCCTCGTAGCTGGCGCATAGCACCCGGATGGTATTGATGAGGGGGCCTGGCACACAGACACTGTAAGCGTCCCCAGGCCCAGGGCAGAGCCGGTAGCCGCAGGCACCCTCCCTCCCAGGCCCAGTCAGAGCCCACCTTCAATCAGGAAGGAGCGGATCTGCTTCTCCTTCTCTTCCAGGTTGATGTGGATGGCGCTGAGTGGAAGCTCCCCCTGTGGGGCAGTGAGGGAGGTGAGCCTTCGCCTGGGGGTAACCCTTGGGCTCTGCCTGGGCCCATCACTCCCCTCGCCCTCCAGAGATAGGGATACTGGGCCGGGTGAGGCAAGGCCGAGGCCGACAGCCCTGAGGGATGTGGGCTCCCCATCTGCCCCAGGGGCATCTCTCGGCCTCTGGGTGGGGACCTCATCAACCAATGGCAGACAGACACAGACACATGCTCGTGGGGATGGGTCCCCTCCATCACTGCTGACTGGGAGGGACGTTGGGGGGACTGGAGCCCCCATGTGTGCTTTTCGGCAACTGAAGACCATGGTCACCCCCAGGTTATGTGGCCAAGGACCCTCCACAGTGACACAGGTGCCTGGGCAGGGCCCCTCTTGCTCACATCAGAGCTGAGACCAGACTGACCAGGGCAGCAGACTGGTAGGTGGGGCCAGGATGCTCTGTCCCAACTGGCCCCGAAATACAGGTTCCTCCTGAGCTGCCGCCCCCTCCCACCCCTACACACAGGTGCCTCCCTGGGGCGGGTTCCAGTGGGAGGGCCTACCTTAAAGCAAAGCCCGTCCGCTTCCTCTGAGAAAATGGCCAGGGAAGTCGAATACAGGACCAGGATCCGGTCCCATCGCTCCTGGCGGGGGTCAAGGGCAGAGTGGGGTGCAGCAAGGGCCTGGCCCCACCTGCTGCTGCCACCCTCCCTCACCCCTCACCCCTCAGCCCGTGTCCCCACCCACCTGTGATGGCAGATGCTGCAGCTTGACCCTCGAGGCGCAGATGGCACTGCCCACCGCTTGGCGACCCCATGCGGTGCGCAGCTGGGTCAGCCTGTGCTGCAGACTCCAGGGGAGCTGGTCTTCAGGGGGCGCCTGGGAAACAGGGGTCAGGGCAGGCAGGCAGGGGGGCTGGGAAAGGGGGTTGGGGTACGCGGAACTGACCTGCGGGGGTGCTGAGTGGCAGCACTGCAGCCCTCTCAGAAGGGCCATCTGCTTTTCCAGATGGTAGAGCCAGCGGCCCAGCTCAGCCTGGCTGGGGCAGACCACCAACAGGGGGGCAGGCAGTGGGCCTGTGGGCGGAGAGCAGGGGGGCTGGGCCGGCACCCCCAGGAGATGCCCCTCCCCAGAACCCTCCCACAGACCCCAGGGCTGCTAACCAGGACCTGCTGCACTCCCCCCAGCCAGGCACATGGCCATGTGCCCATTGGAAGAAAAGAGAATCTCTCAACACTCAGGGTCCTGCCAATGCCCTTGGGTCTGGCCAGAGGGAGCTCTGAGGGAGCCAGGTGCTCCTCAACTGCCCTGGGGGGCACCCTTAGCCCTCTCCCCCTCCTGGGCGGAACTGCTCATGCCCACACACCTGTGATCTGGAAGGCATGCTCTCTGGAGCCCTCCATCGGGCAGATGCTCAGCTCCACCAGCGGTAACAGCCCCTGCCAGAGCCCGGCAGGATCGGAGGCTGAGCACCCCCAGGCGCCATGGCCCCTCAGGGGCTCCCTCCCTGTCCCCCCAGCCTCCTCCCTGTGCCCAGCTCCCTCACCTGGAAAGTGAAGCCCTCGGAACCGTGGGCCTGGAAGTAGAGGTGGGAAGGAAACAGCTCCAGGTAGCAGTCGCTGACATCCTGGGGGAGCAGGGCTGCTGTTTGAGCACCGGGGGAGCGGGGAGGTAGGCTGCAGGCTGGATCCGACCCCCACCCAGCCGGCCCCCACCTGGCTATGCTGGAATCTCAGTTGGACCTTGGCATAGTGCACAACCTTGCCCAGGTTCCTCACAGGCACCCTGCGCCGTCCCTTCTTGAAAACGCTCAGGAACGGCTGGTCCAGGTGTTCTTGCTGGCTCTCCAGGCCTGGGAGGTCCTGCAAGGAGCACCGCTCAGGGGGGGCGGGGGCTGAACTCCAGTACACACACACACACACACACACACACACACACACGCACACACCACCTCACTTCGAGTCGTGGAATCACACAGCCAGTGGTGGAGACAGTGATGTTTGGACTCAAAGGAGATTCCCAAGCTGTGTACCCTTATTTTGGTTATTCAGCCCCTAAGTCTGGTTGGCCAGCTGATGTGGCTTAGTGGCTGAGCATCAACCTATGAACCAGGAGGTCATAGTTTGATTTCCGGTCTGGGAACATGCTTGGATTTTGGGCTCCATCCCCAGTGTGGGATGTGCAGGAGGCAGCCGATCAATGATTCTCTTTCATCATTGATGTTTCTCTCTTCCTCTCTGAAGTCAATAAAAACATACATACTTAAAAGTCTTCCTGAGTCTTCCATTGACTGGTAAATGTTTAACCTGGTTCTAAAAAAGCGGGGAGGGGTTGCCTGATGTGTTTGCCAGCCCCTCTGCAGCCCATGTTGAGTCAGCGTGACGCCTGTGAACATGGAGCTTGGAAGGGAGCCGTGACCTTGATCTCCTGACGTCACGTAGTGGAGGCCCAAATGTGCCCAGACATGCTGCCTAGCCCTGGGCCGGACGGGCTTCCTGCCTGGCAATGGCTGAGGGGTCGTCAAGGACCTGCCCCTCCCTGCCGCCTCCTCACATCAGGCACATGCCCAGCGCAGAGCCTTCCAGTTTGCTGACCCTCTGCCTGGGACCACCTCCTCACCTCCTCACGCCGCCTCTTCGGTGACACCCTGTCTGCCACTCCAACTTCCCAACCCCCCTGACCGCTCTCCAGCCCTCAGTGCTAACCTCATCTTCCTCATAATAATACCTTGTGTTCATTTGTCTGGCCATCTGGCTCTGTGTCACAGGGATAGGAACACCCTGAGAACAGGGGTTTGGTCTGTTTTGGCCACTGCCGTATCGTCCGGGCCAGGACAGGTCTGAGGTGTGCTGGAGGTTCAGTGCCTGCCAGCACACACACAGCCAATTCTGGGGCACAGAGAGGCCTCCACAAATGGGAGCTTGATCATCAGACTGGGAGTCAGACAGGGCTGTGGCTGGAGGGGGCTCTGTGGAGGGCCATGCTTCCTCCAGGAGCTGGCAGGGGCTGCCTCCCAGGCTGCCATGCCCTGGCCAAGCCAAGCCGCCCCTTACTTAGACAAGCCCAGGAATGTGCACAGACAGACGCGCAGCTTCCTAGCCTCCCTGCCTCTGGGTGGGGCCTCCTGCACCCACACCCAGTTCGGGGAATGATGCCGGGATGGGACTGTGAAAAATAGGCCACAGAGCAGGAAGGGCTGCGAAACTGGCCCTGTGGCCCGGACTCAGCCTTAGGGTCCAGGGAGGAGTCAGCTCAAAGCTACCACGGAGAGCCGACTTCTCTGGGGCCCCATCTCCTGACACAACATGCCGGTGCCCTGTCCAGCCACCCCCAGTCCTGGCAAGAGAACCGTCACACCTGGGGGGAGTCCACCCAGCCCTACAATGTGTGGGCCTGGACAGCAGGAGCTAAGGCCCGAGGCGGGGCCACGCGGGACCCCCTCCCTCTGAGGGAGCACGTTGCGGAAGCCAGTCCTTGCCCCAGGGAGCCCTGGACCTCAGGGGGAATGGAGGGGCCAGCCTGCTGGGCACACACTGAGAAGGTGGTGGTGGAATCCCACACCAGCATAGGGACCAATCGAGGCATGCAGGGCGGAGCCCTGGCCCAAGCCCCTGGCACAGTTACACCTGTTTCTCCTACACCCTCTCCTGGAATGACAACTTGGGGGTCACTTCCCTCACAAGCTAGGACGCATGCCAGTCATCGGGACGCTGGGTGTCTCTCCCTGACAGGGGCTGGGCAGAGGGCGGGGTGATTTTCAGCTCAACTGTGCCAATCGTTGCAGTACGGCCCTGGGAGTGGGGGTGAGGGCCCACAGGGCATTGCTATGGGAGGGGGTAGTGGTGGGTGCTGGCTGTTGGGGGTCACCTTGGAAGAAACTGAGTCCTGGAATAAGTGTGAGGCTGGCTCACTGCCACCCAAGCCCCTTACTCAGAGTAAGGAGCCGACAGGGTGGGACTCACATCCACAGGAGGGACACAACATCCAGGCCCACACAGAACAGCTCAGAGACACATGTGCTTGGTGCCTGGACACGCTGGCCAGTCCCCGCCCAGCTGCAGACCCCGAGCTCGCAGCCGGGCCACCTCTCAGAGGCCCCGCCCCCGCCCAGCTGGGGCCGGCACTGCTCACCCACTGACTCAGAGTTGGTCCCAGTTTCGCTCTCAGCTCAGACTTTCGGCCAGACCAGCTTCTAGGGCGGGGCTGCTCCTACTTCCTCACCTGGTTCTAGATTTGACGCCCCCCCCCACCCCCGGGGCTGCCCCTGGGGGCCCCCGGGCAGAGCAGACACGATCCCTCGCGCCCCCCCCCCCCCCCCCGCCCCGCCCCACCCCGGTGGCCGCACAGCGCAGGACACGCCCTCTGCTCACCGTCCCCGGGATGTAGCAGAAGATCTTGTCGGCCGCGGTGTCCCCGTCGTCCGGACTGGCCTCGGAGCCAAACAGGCCGGCTAGCTTCCTGGTGCCATCCTCTCTGCGGACAAAGGAGGGGCTCACAGCCTGGCCCCAGGCGAGTAGAGGCGACCCTGAGACCCAGCCTCAAGCCGCGCCCCCTCACCTGCTGCCCTTCAGCGAGGGCTTTCTGGAGAAGGAGGCCCTGAGCCTCCTGGAAGCCTGGGGCACGCAGTGGCTGTTCCCCATGGGCAGCAGTGGCGGCTGGCCTAGTGAGCAGAGCGACAGGTCTGGGTCCCTCAGTCCTGAGCCTCTTGCCCCCACCTCCTGGGGCGGGGCTGACACAGTGAGGGTGGAGCCTCTCTGGGCAGGTCGCTCCTACCTGGGCCCAGCCTTTCCGTCCTCAGCCCTGGGTCCTCTGCATAAGAAGGCAGTCCTGGGCGGTACCGGGAGGCTTCCCCAGCCCAGCCCAGAGCCCCCAACTCAGCCTCCCACTTGTAAAGGACAGGCCTCCAAGCGCATGCCCTGCCTGAACCTGGCTGGGGTGTCTGGGGCTAGAGCTTGGGAGACAGGGACCCCGTCGAGGCACCCATCCTGTTTCCACCTCAGCGCCAATCTGAGTTACCAGTGACTGTAGCGGGGGTGTGGAGGGGGAGATATGTGCTTGCTGGAGAAGTCCAAGTGAGGGAAGGGAAAGCCAGGACCCCGCCCCCGCCCCCGCCCCCTCGCTTGCCTTGGTTCAGGCCTCACTCTGCACCAAGGTCAGGGTCCCACAGGCTTAACCAGAATCCAGGAAGGAAGGAGGCTGTGGATGGACTTCCTAGGCATGTGGGACAGGCATGGTGGACCTGGGGCCACACAGGACCAGGCTGAGGGGCCAGGGTCAGCCTCTTGTCCAGGACATGGCAGCGCTGCCCCAGCTAGACCTGATGGTGCCACCTCCGAGGCCCCAGATGCCAATGCCATTCCTTAGCCCAACTGTATACCCACCCCTAGACCTTCCCGGTCACTCAAGACAGAACCCCAAAAGGCAGAGATCACACTGGACACAGGCCCAGAGCCCAAGGAACACGTTTATTGTCCAAGGCAGCTCATATTGCTGAGGGGTCTGTGGCACTCGCGGTGCCAGCTCAGTGCAGGGTCCTGGAGACACCACGCCCACAGGCAGGAAGCCCCTCCCCCGCAGGCCTCCTGCAGCACGCCTTGCCCTGTGAGGCCAGGGCCTGTGCAAAGCGGAGGCTGGGGGTCTGCACCTGCTCAGAAGGCCCCCCCACCCACCCACTGTTCTGCATCTACCCCTGGGTCCCCCCAGGTCTGCAGAATCCGAGTTGGCCCTGACCCACATCCCTTGAGTGTCCACCCCCAGTGAGGCCGGAGGACACCCGAATGGCATCCTGGTCCCAGAGACACAGAAATTTCCAGAGCAATCGTATGAACTGGTAGCTGTGGCACTACTCTCATCAATAAATACTGAATAAATTAACGCACGCATAAATAAACACACATACATAAATGGACACGGACACGTGGACAGACGGTACAGGACGTCCTTGGTGGGGAGCCCAACCCCGATGCACGGGTGAGGGCAGGGAGGCGCTGGGCCCCCTGTGGGGCTTAAGGCATGTGGGAGGCTGTGGGCAAGCCTCTGCGAGTCCCGCGTGGGTCAGAGGCTGGTGGACGACACGGACAGTGTGGGCGAGGATGGGGGCGGGAAGTTGAGCAGCTCCAGCACGGCCACGCCCACGCTGCTGCGCCGCGTGAACATGCAGGACGCAGACACCCACTTGTTGGTCCTCGGGTTGTACTTCTCGATGGAGTTGAGGCTGGAGCTGCCGTCGTTGCCCCCCACGGCATACAGCCAGCCGTCCATGGCCACCAGGTCGTGGGTGCTCCTGGGGCGGAACAGCCGGGAGTGAGACCGCAGATGGGCCCCAGGCCAAGGCAGAAGCCTCTGGGGTGGGGCCGCAGGCTGTGGGAGGCGCCTCCTTGAGCTGGGAGGTGCGGGGTGGGGAGCATTACTAGGGCTGAGCCTGGGCAGGGAGGGGGACCATACCGCACAGGGTGTCTCTGAGGGGGCCAACAGGCTGTGGGGGGACAGGGGCCCCCCCGGGCTGTGTCACAGCACACCTTCGGATGTTCATGGGCGCCACACTCTCCCAGGCACCCGCCTTGGGACTGTATCTCTCCACAGAGTTGAGGCAGCTGGTGCCGTCGTTGCCGCCAGCCACGTAGAGCGCTCCCTCCAGCACCGCCACGCCGGCCGAGCTGCGCCGGCTCAGCATGGAGGCCACCGGCGTCCACGTGTTCGCCTGCGGTGAGGGGACCCGCTGGGGCATACCTACTACCAGCCTCCCTCCACCTGCACAGCACACAGCCCCCTCCAGGCCAGGTGTCTGTGGGACGAGGGGGGGGGGGCGGATGGATCTAAAGGTCTGAGGCTCTGGGGGGCGGGGGTGGCCAGAGTGCTGACCTCAGACAGCCCTTGGGGAGGGGAACACCTGCGATTGGGGTGTTTCGCACCTGGGGCTCATACTTCTCCACAGTGGCCAGGTGTGAGGAGCTGTCGTAACCGCCCACTGCATATAGGTTGCCATCTGCAGAGAGTCAACATGACCGTGGCCTGCCTGCTGTGTGTGGGGTCTCCAGGATGGGGCAGGCAGGGGTGGGCGACACAGCAAGCGAGCCCTGTCACCCACCAAGCATAGCAACACGGACATATCGTCTGCGGGTGCTCATGGCGGCGATGGACGTCCACGTTCCCGTCAGGGGGTCATAGCGCTCGGCACTGTGGACAACAGGACCGCTGCTGGCCTCGAGCGGTAGCAGACCAGGGCTGCCCTCCCCCAGAGGACGGGAGGTCAGAGACGGACCCCAGAGTCTCACTGGAACAGGAAGCGGGCCTGCTGGGTGTGCATGGGCGCTTTTGGGCCCGTGTCCACCTGGGCCCACCCCAGACAGGAGCAGAAGGGACTGGTGGCTGGCACAGAGAACAGGCCTAGGGGACTTGAGGCAGACGGGATCCCGCTTTGCTCCCCTTGAAGTATGACCTCTGCAGTCCCGATGCAGCAGAGCCAGCACCCTGCCCCGACCCCGCCACTACCTGTTGAGGCACGAGGCCCCATCGTAGCCGCCGGCTGCGTACAGGAGCCCGTGCAGGGTAGCCACACCCAGGCAGCTGCGCCTCGTGCCCATGGACACCTCGGGCTGCCAGGTGTTGGTCACAGGGTCGTACGACTCTACGGTGGCCAGATCTGAAGTCCCGTCGTAACTAGGAGAGGGGTCCGCTCCGGTCAGGGCTGGCCCAGTGGACACACAGGGGCCCTCACCCACGAGCAGCCTGCACACCTACCCGCCCACTGCGTACAACCGGTTCCCGACTGCCGCCACGCCCACTCGGGCTCGGCGTGTGGACATGGAGGCCACCACATGCCAACGGTCTGTGCGTGTGTCGTAGGCCTCACAGTCGCCATGGATGGCGAACAGGCTCCCGCCACCTGGGGAGGGGGAGGGGAGGGGACAGGATGAGGGGCTCAGGGAGGTGATGGGCTGAGGGGCTCTGGCACAGCTCAAGGTGGAGGGTATGGGGGCTCCAAGGGTGTGGACAGGGATCTGAGTGGGTCGCACCACATGGGGCCCTCCAAAGGTGGACAGAGGAGCCGCGTAGGTGGGCGCAGGATGTGACCAGCACAGGTGGGACGGGCTAGTGTTGGGCTCGCGGATAGAAAAGGCCAGACAGAGAGGTGAAGGGAGAGGGAAGGGATGTGGGGACCAAGCAGGTGGGCATACCCACAGCGAAGAGCACAGGGCCGGCACCCTCACAGCGTCGGGGCCGAGTGCGGCTTGTGCCCAGGACACCTCTCTGCTCTGGCAGCAGGTGGAACTTGAGGGCCTCGATGAGCAGGTCCTTGCAGTCAGGGTGGTGCCTCACCAAGCTCTCAGCATCCACATGGCCCAGGAGGAAGTCCCGGCTCAGCAGGGGCAGACGCACACACTTCATCAGCTGCGGTGCAGGAGTACCATGGTCAGGCAGCAGGCAGAACCCACGGGCACACTTCCTCCTAGCAGTGAGAGCCCCCGGACACCTGTCTACCTGTCCACCGGACACTTCTCCAGACATGTGCCTGCAACACCCTGGACATGGAGGAGCCCAGGTGCACCCAGGTCCTCAGACCCTGCATCCCCTCCTGACACAGCGGCCCCGGGGCTGGCCTCACCCGCGGGACGTGCTGCCTCCGAGCATCCACGTCGTGCTTGACCCAGCTCAGGACGGCACGGTAGACGTCTTCCTCTGAAGGCACGTTCAGGCTGTCACTAGAGACCAGTTCCAGCACCTGGGGGTAGGGACCCTCAGACCTGAAATCTGGGGAGGGTCTTGGGGGCCCACGGAGCCCTGATGATGCCTGGGAAGGAGAGTCCAATGGGGGCCCAGTGTTCCTATGAGGAGGGGCCAAGTGGGGTCTGGAACCACAGACCCAGTTCCTGGGTGCCCAGGCCCAGAGCAAAGAAGGCTTGGGTGGGGTCAGAAGATGGGGGCAGGGGGTGGGGCTGGGAATAAGGGTCAGGGGGCAGAGGCCTGGGCCTTTAGGGCCCAAATGATGGGGGTCAAAGAGTCCAAGGGCTGGGTGCTTTCAGGGGTCCAGGGACTGGGTCATGGCCCACGCTGCACCCCAGCTGGCACGTTACCTGCTTTAGTGGCAACAGCATGAACTCCTCGGTCTTGGCCACGTCCACGAAGTGCTGCAGCACGTACCTGTGTGCTGCCTTGAGCAGGTCGCTGCACGAGTGTGTGTCGGCAAAGCCCCGGATGCCCAGGCAGTTGGAGGGGTCAAGCTGACTCAGCAGGAACTTGCAGCAGGCGTCACGGACGCCATTCAGCTGCAGAAGGCTGGCAGCAGGGAGCAGAGTCTGTGGGTGAGGAGGGACAGAAGGCCGGGGAGCAGCGACAGAGAAACAGGTGAGGACAGCTGAGGCAGGAGACCAGGTGGGACACAGGTCGGGAGGGGAAAGCACCTCACCTGCACGTTGCCCTCGCCCACCACAATCTCAGCCGTGTATGCAAACTGCACCAGTTGGTCCAAGGCCTGAGGGTCGATGTCATGCAACGTCACGTGGGTCTGGCGGCTCTCGCTCATCTCATCTGTGGGGATGGTGGGTCAGGCCAGTCCCCCCTGGGAGACTGGAAGAGCCCCCTGGTGCCCACTGGTGGGGTGGTACTTGCTTGTGAACATGGCGTGGAAGTAGGGGCTGCAGGAGGCCAGCACCACCTTGTGAGCTCGGATCTCCTTGGCGGCCACGTGCAAAACGATGTCACACAGGAGGCCACGCTGTCGCATGCGGCTCATGGCAACGAAGGCATCATGGTAGTGCCGCTTGGAGTTGTGGGACACGGTGTGGCCCTCCCGGCTCAGCAGCTGCATGCCCTCCATGGGGGCTGTGGGCCGGGTCTGCCGGGCCCGTGCACGCTCGGCCTCGGTGCTGCAGACGGGCAGTGCCAGGTCAGGACGGGGCACCAGGAGGCCACTCCTCCCCCAGGGCCATACCTGGCACCTGCAAGGACCTCCCCTGCGGCCCAGGCTCGCCTATCTGCTCCCTCCCTTCCAGGAGTCTCCCACATCCCGCTTGAGGTCGGGGTGTTGGGCCTGCAGAGCCGCTCTGCCCAGCCCTCCTTGGGCACCAGACCCCGTGTGCTCAGGCCTCCTCAGAACCAGCTTCGCTCTGCCCATGGCGAGCCTTTCCCGCCCCATCGGAGTCGGGTGCCCGCAGCCCCGCGGGCACAGGAAGTGCCCGGAGTGAAACTGGTCAGTGGCTCAGGCGGCTGAAGCGGACCCCTAAGCCCCCCGGCCAGGCGTGACCTCACTGAACCCTCCAAAGGCTTGGCCGGGCCAGCCTACCCCCGCCCCCCTTCTGCAGACAGCGGCGCGGCCGGGACTCAAGGGCAGCGGGCGGCTGAGCCTCCGGGAGCAGCCGCCGCCGGGACCCCGGCCCCGCGGTGCGCGTGGATACGCGGAGGGGCAGCTGGACCCACCGCCGGGGGCCGTCCCCTCACGGCAGCCCGCCGGGTCGGCGCGCCCCTCCCTTCTCCTCCCCGGCCCGCTAGGCGCCCGCAGGCCCGCGGTCCCCGGTCCCGCACTCACGCGGGCGGCTGCGGCGGCGGCGGCGGCGGCGGCGGCGCCTCGGGCCCCGGCCCCGGGCTGCCGTGCTCCGGGCTCTGCGTTCTGCCGGCCGGGCGCTCGCTGCGCGGCTGCATGGGCTCGGCCACCGGACCCGCGATCCGCGGAGGACGCCCAGACGAACGGCCGGGACCGCTGAGGGCGGCGCGGCGGCGGCGGCGGCTGCTCGGCGTCTCCGGCTCCCGCCGCGGCCGCAGCCGTTGTTTCTCGGCGCCGCCCGCCCAGCCTCCCGCGTTCCCGCGGCTGCGGGCGCGCAACGTGGAACGCGAATCCTCTCCACGTCCCGGCGCCACGCCCGCCCGCTCCTCCGGGAGGCGCCCGCCCCACCCCGGCCGCGTCTGCCGCTCCTATTCCAGAAGCTTCCCGGCCTGCCGCTCCCGCTAACCATCCAAGAAGCCCCCACCACCCACACAAGCCCCAGACCTCGAGCTGGGCGCGGGCTGCGGGGTGGGGGTTGGAGGAGCAGGGCGCTAGATCGAGGGGTCTGACCAGAGCCTCCCGCCCCCCGGGGCTGTGGGATCCACGGTGGGGGTCTGGCGGGAAGGAGGGCACAAGCCTTCCTTAAGGCAACCTTCCAGCCTTCCAGCCTCTGGCCTTTGCACATCAGCACCGGAAAGGGGCAGTCCCCGCCCCCGCCCCCGGCGGCCGTGGCCTTAGCACAGTGTTCACAGTGCGTTCACAGCAGAGGGGAGTCGCTGGACTGAAGTACCAGGCATAGTACTTGCGGCGGATTCGGGCAAACTGCCTTGAATAAGAGCGCTTTCCACCCACCCCCTTCCCCACCACGGAGACTAAGGGACCGTCCCGTGAAGCGGAAACTGCTCTCCTGGCTCTGACCCTCCTTGGTCGGGCGAGGCCCGTCTGGCCACAGGGTGTCCTGAATCTTTTGGCGAACTGCTCACCTACGCATCACCGTTTCTATTTTGCTTTATTTTTCCTACCAGAGTTAGGGTTTTTATTGCTGATTTGTAAGAGCTCTCTCTAGTGGGGTCCTCAGTGGTGCATTTTGCCCGTTGTCCATGCATTGACACCCTCACAGGCACGTGATTACGGAGCCCTGGGGAGGCTGTGACCCGGTGGGCGAGGGCGCCCGTGGGCCCCAGGCCCCTTGATGCCAGGTCCGTAGTGTTATCACTGCCTCTTACGGAGAAGAAGCGTGAGCGGCGCGTCCCGCCCAGTGCCCGAGCGGAGGCGCGCGGGAGCCGGGACCGAACCGGGCCTGAGCCGGAGCCGCCGCCTCCGCGCAACCCAGGAGCTGGGCGCCCGCGGCACCGAGGACGTGCACACGCCCTCCCGCTCGCAGACCGCAGAGACCGCGGCTGGAGAACCGCAGAGCCAGCGTGCGGGGCGGGGCAAGGGGTGGGGCCTGCGGCGGAAGTGTGGCTGGCGCGCGGCATTCTGGGGCCGGAAGCGGAGCTCACGTTGCCACCGGAGCGCATGGCGGCGCGGGGCAGCAAGCGGTGAGTTGAGAGTCTGGGGCCGATGAGGCTTCCCCGCGGCGCGCCAGTCCACAGGGGCCCCTCTGCGTCCCTCCGTGTCCGGGCAGCGGGGCGGGCACCGGGCTGGCGGGCGCTCGTGATTCCGGTGTCGGGCCCGCAGGCGCCTGGCGGAGCTGACGGTGGATGAGTTCCTGGCCTCGGGTTTTGACTCCGAGTCCGAGTCGGAGCCTGAAGCAGTCGAGGAAGCCGAGGCGCGGGCGGCGCGTGGAGCCTCCCGGAACCCGGACGGGCCAGGCGGAAGCCCCTCCGCCAGGTGAGCAGCATCCCTTTCGTCGTCCCGGAGCCCCAACCGCGGGGTGCTGGCTATTCCTGGGGCCTCAGCATTGAGGTCTGGGGATCGATGGCCCCTGCCCCGCACTCTCGTGCTTATGTACTCTTTCACCGGATGCTTACCAAGCGGCCGCTCGGTGCCTACCCGAGCCTGGTTTGGAGGCGGGCATAGGCCGGCCCGGGAGGCCCCCTTGGGCTGGGTGGAGCCAGGAAGTGCAGGGATAGACAGAAAGGGGAAGCTGGAGCGTGGCAGGCATCTTGTGCTAAGTGGAGTGAGAAGGTCGTTGGAAGAGGTGATAGATAACCAAAGACCTAAGGGAGCAGGCGCCGCCGCCGGTAGGGGAAGCGTGTCCTGGTGTTGCAGGCGCAGGACAGCCGGGCCCGGTTGGGAGCGGGCCTCCCGCGAGGGTGAGTGTGGCTGTGGCAGGAGAGGGGTGGACCTGGAGAGGTGATGGTGGGGCCCTTATAAGGTGTCCCAGTAACAAGGGAAGTCGCAGGGATTTGTGTGAGAGTGAAGGAATGGCACGTGACATATAAGAGCCACGTGGGCTGCTGTAGTCGCAGGGATGGGTACTGAAAGATGGTGCTGGTTAGAGAAGAGGTGGGGGGTGTGTGTTTGAAGATATTGCTGGTGAGAGCTCCTGACAGAGTGCATGCTGGGAATGAGAGACAGACAGAGGTTGACCTTTCACCTGAGTGCTTGGAAAGGTAGAGTTGCCACCACTGAGGTAAAGCAGGGGTGGGTAGAGCAAGTTTGGGGAGCCCTAGGTTCAGTGTTGTGCATGTTGGGTTTGAAATGCACCTGCTGAAACGTAGAGAGGCTGTGGGATGTGTGAGCTTGGAGCTTGGGGCTCAGAGCGATCTTAAAACCTAACCCCTAGAAATCCCCTGCCTTAGTTGTGGGTAGCTGTTGTGAGGGAGCAGGTTAGCCCCCTGTCTTCCCAGAAGAGGTCAGCAAGCTGGTAGTGGGAAGGCCAGGAAGCCTTACCTCCCACCCTTACTGGCTCTGCCCATCCATCTGACTGGATGACTGACCCCCATCTCCCCAGCCTACGTAAAGGCCGGGCATCTGAGCACAAGGACCAGCTTTCTCGGCTGAAGGACAAAGACCCCGAGTTCTACAAGTTCCTGCAGGAGAACGACCAGAGCCTGCTGAACTTCAGCGACTCGGACGGCTCTGAGGATGGAGAGGAGCAGCTGCACTCCCTGCCCGACATGCTGGAAGTGAGGGCCCGGACAGAGCTGGATGGGGGCAGGGGGCACACTCCTGGCCTCTACATCCTGCTCTAGCCCGGCCCTCTGTGTTTGGTGCAGGAAGCCAGTGAGGAGGAAGGCGAGGAGGACAAGGATGGGGCCTCCAGAGGATCGAAGGGGAAGAAGAGGGATTCTACCCCAGTGACCCTGGCCATGGTCGAGAGATGGAAGCAGGCAGCGAAAGTGAGAAATGGCTGGACACCCCCCCGCTCCCCGTGTGTGTGTGTGTGTGTGTGTGTGTGTGTCCCATTAGGAGTTGGCCTGACTCTGTTGAGTTACATGGTACTGTGCAGATGGGAGGTCCCCTCCTAGAAGCCAACTACTCCGCATAGCTCTTCCTCAGGCGAGGAGGCTCAAGGGCTGTGTTGTCTCCTCGTCAGATCCTAGCGGCTGTGCCTGCTCCTTTGCTCTCGGTTTCTCTCTTTGGCTCCTTGCTCTCTGAAGTCTCTTGCAGGCAGGATATGGTCTCTGTGCCTTTGGTAGTTGGTCAAGTCAGGCCCCTTCTTCTGAGGGTCTGGCCGTGGTTTCTGTAGGGAAAGGAAGGGATGGAAGGGGAGAACTACAGAAGCTGTGCACAGCTGGCCATTGTCCAGATCTGGGACCCTCAGCCCCTTCCCTGTGGTCCCTGAGCTGGGCTCCCTGCCCGCCCAGGAGGATTCTGAACTCTGTTTATTCCTGGCACATGGAACACTCACCCCACCTCTGCTTGTGTGAGAATGAGGGCGACAGGTGCCGGTCTCTCCTAGGGCAGGTTTGGGAGCTGCTGGCTGCCTCTCCCTCTGTCCAGCACAGCCGATGGCTCCCTTAACCTTCTGGGTTCTGTTGTCCCTTTAGCACCACCTAACTCCAAAGCTGTTCCATGAAGTTGTGCAGGCGTTCCGAGCAGCTGTGGCTACCACCCAAGGAGACCCAGAGGGTGCTGAGGCCATTAAATTCCAGGTCACAGACAGTGCTGGTGAGCTGGGGCCAGGGGACCTGGGTACAGGCTCTCTGTTCCATCTGCTGTTCTGTAAACAGCATTTCTGGTCCCTTCATTGCAGTGTTCAATGCTCTGGTCACCTTCTGCATCAGAGACCTCTTTGGATGCCTCCAGAAGCTGCTATTTCGAAAAGTTACAAAGGACAGCAGCAGGTGAGGGGGGATAGGGTGGGGGTACCGGGGCCCTGCAGTGTGGGAAAAGCAGAGATCTGGGACCTGGCAGTTCCCTTTGGGCTCAGCTGGCACAGAGGGATGTTGAGGGCAGCAGGCTCTCTCTGGGCTCTGGAGATAGGCTCGGCTCCCAGGGCCTGTAGGAGTGGCCCTTTCCTTTTCTCTTCCGGAGAAGGGACATTCTCGGCCCAGAATTTCTCCGGGACCACAAACTGCTTCCTTTTCTTTCCGATTTTCCCCGGTCAGAATTCTTTCTCCCTCTCCCTCCTCCCCTCTCCCTATCTCCCTTCCTCCCCTCCTCCTTTTCTCTCTCTCTTTCTCTTTCTCTATTCTTTTCATCTTCCTCTTTGGATGAACAGTCTTGTTCACTCTTTTTGCCCTGCAGCTGCTGGGTGTGTCTCCTGGGGGTCCTGGTGGATGGTGGTTTTGAGAACCTTAGCTTCCAGATTAAGAGTTAGAAGTAGATCGAGCAGAGAAGCTGTATTCAGAGGAGGGAGGAGGGCAGCAGATTGGTAGAACAGGGGTTACTTGGGGCAGGGAGGGCCACACAGCCCCATGGCCCAAATGCCTTTCAAAGGAAGAAAGATGTGTCCAGAGAGAGGCCCTCTGTCATCACCTGAGCCTGGTGGTGGTGGTCAGGCTGGCCTGATGGATTGAGGTGGTTGGGCCGAGTGGAGGCACCCTGTCTGTCCAGGGTATGGCGGAAGGGGACTGGCAGTGGGTGTGCGGCAGCAGAGGCAGTGCTGGTGGTGCCCTCCTGGGAAGGAGGCCGCTGGCTGCCCTTGCTGGAGGAAGTGGAAAGCACTGCCTTCTGGGCAGAGTGAGCTGCCATGGTGCCCCTGGCCTTTGCCCCTTCATGTACTTCAGCAGGTGGTTTTTAAAAAATATGTTTTTATTGGTTTTTAGATAGAGAAACATTGATGACAGAGACTCGTCTGTCAGCTGCCTCCCTCATGCCCCTATCTGGGATTGAGCCTGCAACGCACCTCTTGGTCCATGGGATGTCACTCAACCCACTGAGCCACACCAGCCAATTCAGGGTTTTGTTGTTGTTAATCCTCACAAGAGGGCATCTTTCCATTGATTTTTAGAGAGAATGGAAGGGAGGGGTAGAGACAGAGAGAAACGTTGGTGTGAGAAAGAAAGACATATCAATTGGTTGCTTCCCACACTCACTCTGCACCCCGACTGGGGCCGAGAACTGAGCCTGCAACTGAGGTACATGCCCTTGACTAGAGGAATTGAACCCAGGACTCAAGTCTGCAGGCTGATGCTCTATCCACTAAGGGAACTGGCCAGGGCGACTTTGATTTTTTTTTAAAGCTTGTTCGGGCCACAGAAAACCTGGTTGCAGTGGTGGTGGTTAGCACCTGGGTGTATGCCCTCTGGGAACCCTGGTGAAGTGGCAGTCTATCCCTCAGGCATTGGTCATGGCCACTCTCGAGAGGGTCTCTCCACAGGGCCCTGTGTCCTGTACATGGACAGAATGTAAACTGGGGGGTGTCTAAGGTTTGGGTCTCATTTGGTGGGGTGGGGTGGTCTCTGCAGGTTGCTGCAGCCGTCCAGTAGCCCGCTGTGGGGGAAGCTCCGGCTGGACGTCAAGGCTTACCTGAGCTCAGTCATACAGGTGTGGTGTCCATGGGGCGGGGGGGGGGGGGGGGACGCTGCTGGGTCACCAGGGCCTGGCCATGGGCAGTGGTCTGGTCCTTCTCTGTATCTCCATGTGGTGGGTTTCGTGGTGCTGACCTCCTGCTCCCCCAGCTAGTGGCCTGTGTGGCAGAGGCGACGGTGGCGGCAGCCCTCCTGCAGCACATCAGCAGCTCCGTGCCCTACTTCCTGACCTTCCCCAAGCAGTGCCGCATGCTACTCAAGGTGGGCATACCCGTTGGCGTGCTCAAGTGCATGTGGCTGCCCTTAAGCATAACCCCAAACCGGCAACACAGATGGGCGTGTGGGAACAGGTTCTGAGCCGAGGCTGCTTTCCAGCCATGTCCATGGACGCCTCTGGCCGGACTTGGGCAGGCCGGGGCCGGCTGTGACTTCTCGCTCGTTGCAGAGGATGGTGGTCCTGTGGAGCACGGGCGAAGAGACAGTCCGAGTGTTGGCCTTCCTGGTCCTCGTCAGAGTCTGCCGGCACAAAAAAGACACCTTCCTGAGCCCCGTCCTGAAGGTAGTGTGGCCAGCCCTCCCCACCCCGGGTTGAAAGGCTCAGCCTGAGGGGCTGGCAGGCTGCCTTCGTGGTCAGCACCTCACTGGGGCTGGCTCAAGGCAGAACCAGGTCTTTGTCACCTTTTCTCCCTGGGAAGGGGTGGTGACAATGATGGCATCCCTCCCCTATCCCTGCCTCTGTGGACTACAGTGTGCAGCTGTTCCCTCAGTGCACAAGGACATCGGTGTGGAGAGGGGCAGGGACCCTGGTGCCTGGCTCCAAACCAAGGGTGGCCTGCCTCGCATGGAACTTCCAGATCCCCTTGCATAGGCCTGGCAGCAGGCTCCTCCTCTCAGTCCCTCATGGTCCCTTTGCTGGTCCTCAGACTCGTTCCTGCTGGAGCTCGCCCTCCCTTGGTACTCTGACCGCAGACTCTGTGCCCAAGGTTTTGGGTACACCCTTGCGGAAAGGAGAGGGTCTGCAGCAGACACAGCTGGACTGTGGCTCTGAGAGGCAGGAGCTCTGAGGGTCAGACCCAGGTATTGTGGTGGGGCCTCGGGGCCTGGGAGCTCAGGCAGCTGTGACTGGTCTTCCGGCAGCAAATGTACATCACGTACGTGAGGAACTGCAAGTTCACCTCCCCCAGCACCCTGCCCCTCATCAGCTTCATGCAGCGGACACTGACCGAGCTGCTGGCGCTGGACACCAGCGTTGCCTACCAGCATGCCTTCCTGTACATCCGCCAGCTCGCCATCCACCTCCGCAACGCCATGACCATGCGTAAGAAGGTGTGTGGCCGGGCTGGACAGGGTCCTGGCTGTGGGGTTGGGAGGGGCACAGCCTGCTGGGGCCTGTGCACGTGGCGCAAAGGAGGGCCTGGGCCCTGGGACCCTGTTGACCTGGGGGCTTCCCTGCAGGAGACACACCAGTCCGTGTACAACTGGCAGTTCGTGCATTGCCTGCAGTTGTGGTGCCGTGTCCTCAGCACCATCTGCCCCAGCGACACCCTCCAGCCCTTGATCTACCCCCTCGCCCAGGTTGTCCTCGGCTGCATCAAGTGAGTCTGAGTGTGTGGGGCCCTGAGGCCTGGAGGGCAGGTCACAGGCTTCCTGCAGGGGTCCTCTCCCAGGTGGCCAGGTCTCTAGGGAGGGTCTGCGCTGCGGTCTGTTACTCAGTGACATCCGTGGAGGGGCTGGGCTGGAGCTGTCTTCGGTCTGTCCCCTGCGTGGGGGTACACCCAGGCTGGGTAGCTCGGCTCCCTGGTGGCTTGCACTGTGAGTGCCTCCCTTGGATCTCTGTCCGAGGATGTAGCAGCGTGCATTCTTGGAGAGGGCCACATGCAGTTTGAAGGGGATTGGGTTTATTCTCACAGGGTTCTTGGACAGAGCAGGTGGGGTCTGGTGTGTGGAATCCTGGATGTCATATTGGGCATGGGTCTCGGCAGAGAATGGAGGAGCTGTGCGTGGCCTGGTGGCTGTTGGCCAGGAGGGGGCAGCCCTGTCCTGAAGGAGAGTTGAAAGCTGGGATGAGAGGCTTGAATGAATGATCCCTACAAACACATTAAACTGAAACAAAGTTAGACCTGGTTGGGTGTCCCTTCAGCCCCATAACTGAGCAAGGAGTCAAGTCCTGAAGGCCTGTGTCTTGCCCTGTTCTGTCAGTAATCCGGTGGGGCAGGTGTGGCCAGTGACCCTGAGGGGTGATAGGGAGGATCCCTGCTGCAGCTGGGGCTCCAAGGGAAAGGTCAGGGCAGTGCCAGGAGGGTGGGGCGGGCTTGTGGGATCCCGGCGGGCCCGGCCTCGTCTCACTCCCATCCTCCTGCTCCTAGGCTGGTCCCCACCGCACGCTTCTACCCGCTGCGCATGCACTGCGTGCGCATCCTAACGCTGCTCTCCGAGGGCACCGGCACCTTCATCCCCGTGCTGCCCTTCATCCTCGAGGTGAGCAGGCAGGGCCAGGTGCTGCAAGGGCATCGCTGTCCTGCCTGGGCTGGTGGCATGTGTTAATTGGCAAGAGCAGCAGTGAGGGAAAGGAAGCTGCCTTGTGGGGTAGACCGGAGGGTGCTGGTTTTAAGGCACAGACCTGGGTCAATCTGGGCATTTGTCCGAGATGAGTGCGAGCGGGAGATCCAGGCCAGAAACCCAGGTCTAATTCCAAGGCTGCATCTGCCCTCTGCACGTCCCCATGTGTGTGCACAAGTGTGTGCATCTGCGTTGCATGCTCACACAAGCTCAGGCCAGAAATCACTCGTGGTTAGGCCCCAACCCTGGAAGCAAGCACCCTGCCCTCCCGGGACCACTTTGGTATCCACACATCATGGCTGCTTTTCATCTGGAGCTGACCTGAGCTCAGCTCTGTGGAGTCTCTTGATGGGGGTGCCTTTCCCAGTTGGGCTCTCCAATCTCGGCCCATGTGCCCCTCAGGAACTCATCCTGATCACCTGAGGCAGGGACAGAAGATTCGCGCACATAGAATGAACCCTCCCTGCCCCCCACCTCCCTAGCGCTGGTATCCTGGGGAGAGGTGCCCAGCTGGAGGCCAGTGGGTTGCCTTACTCTCCTGACGGGCGGCGGGGGCTCCTCCCCGAGGCAGGACCCACACAGAGCACAGCCTGCCCTCTGTAGAGGACGCAGAGTGGCAAGGTTGCCAGCTCCCGCCTGAGACCTCGTGCCCCTCAGTGTGTAGCTCCTGGGGATGCAGCACTCAGGCCGGGTTGTAGGGGAGGGTCAGCAGCAGCAGTAGGAGGAGGCCGGGGCCTGGGCACGCCATTGGCCAGGGTCCCACTCTGGGGGGCGAACAGCTCTTGGGCCAGGGGGTTCTGTGGGGCTGCAGGTCTGGTGTGGGTAGGGTGCAGTGGGATGTGGGCACTGCAGTCTGGCTGAAGAGGCCGTCGGTCCTGCAGGTTTTCCAGCAGGTTGACTTCAACAGGAAGCCGGGACGGATGAGTTCCAAGCCCATCAACTTCACTGTGATCCTGAAGTTGTCCAAGGTCAACCTGCAGGAGAAGGCTTACCGGGTGAGGCTGGCCTCCAGGGAGGGGATAGGGAGGGAGTGCCCCAGGTGGGGCCACCGCAGGATGTCAGAGGACGCAGGTCAGCATCCTGAGTGACCATGGAGGCAACAGGAGTGTGGACAGGAAGGGCTCGCTGCCCTGTGGAGGTTATGCATAGACTCGTAGGCTCCCAGGGTCAGGGAGCAGACACCTGTGGGCCCAGCCCCATGAACCTGAGTGAAGCTGTGGCTCCCCACCTCTTCCTGCCTTGGAGAGGGAGCTGGCATTCAGCCTGTGAGGGAGGTGCCTGAGCTCCTCTCCCGTTGCTCCTCAGGATGGGCTGGTGGAGCAGCTGTATGACCTCACCCTCGAGTACCTGCACAGCCAGGCCCATAGCATTGCCTTCCCCGAACTTGCGCTGCCCGCCATCCTGCAGGTGAGTGCCCATTGTCCGGTTGCCCTGCCCAGACCTCTCTGTGACCTACTGTGAGGCTGACTAGACTGTTTTAATGGCCTCAGCTCCCTGTATACACAGGGGCGGAAGAAGGCAGTCTTCTGGGTGTCAGCCACAGAGCCAGTGGTGGGACGCTGGCCTGGGTGACTACCAGGATCCCAGGCCTGCCACAGCCCAGGGACAGATGGCCCCGAGTCTTTCCTGGGACAGAGTGGGCTGGTCTCCTGACTGCATGCCTCCCCTGTGGTTCTGAGTATGGTGTGAAAGTAGGGCTGCCTCAGCTTCCTTCAGGCAATAGGGGAGCAGGTGTGCGTCCACCCTCCCGAAGCCCCTGATGGCTCTCTTTGGAGTCCTTTCCTTTTTAGCCTAGATGGCCTCCCGGGAGCGGTGCTGCCTGTCTGCATAGCCCTGGGTGGGGCTGCCTCCACCCAGTGCCTTGGCTTCGAGGCCCAACAGGACACGGTTTGGGTGGGCAAGGCTCTTTCTGGGCTTGAAGCTCCACAGGTTAGCACTTTTTTTTTTTTGTAAAGAGCCAGGCTTTGTGATTTACACAACTGCTTGATTCTGCTGTCGAAGGAAAAACCCACAAGTGGCCAAAATTGGTTTGGCTCAGTGGATGGAGTGTCGGCCTGCGGACTGAGGGGCCCCGGATTTGATTTTGGTCAAGGGCATGTACCTTGGTTGCGGGCACATCCCCAGTAGGGGGTGTGCAGGAGGTAGCTGATCAATGTTTATCATCAATGTTTCTAACTCTCTACCCCTCTCTCTTCCTCTCTGTAAAGAATCAATAAAATATATTCAAACAACAAACAAACAAAACCCCACAAGTGTGTAAATGAATGAGTGGCTGTGCCAGAACAGCTTCATGTACGGGGGATCCGAGGGGCCAGGCCTTGGTTCTCAGATGGTTCACCCCCGTGGCTCCACTTGTTTGGGTTTGGGCACACGTCGGGGGTGGGCCCCTGGATGTGTGCAGAGCAGCCCTGTGTGGAGCTGGCCGAGCCCCTCTTCCTTCTGCAGCTGAAGTCCTTCCTCCGAGAATGCAAGGTGGCCAACTACTGCCGGCAGGTGCGCCAGCTGCTGGAGAAGGTGCAGGAGAATGCAGACCACATCTGCAGCCTCCGCCAGAGAGCCTCCTTCGGCGTGGCCAACCGGCAGGCCGTGGTCAGTGGGGTGGACACCCGAGTATGGCTGGGGCTTGGGGTTTTGCCCAGGATGGGACATGACCCAAACCTTTTCCCACAGGATGACTGGGAGAAGCAGATCCGAGAGGAGGGGACTCCGCTCATCAAGTACTACAGCCACTGGCGGAAACTGAGGGACCGAGAGATCCAGCTGGAAATCAGTGGCAAAGAGCGGGTATGGGCTGAGAGGGTGTCGGAGCCTGGGCCTGCCTGGCTGGATTGTTCTGAGATGAGGACCTAGCACCCTGGCTATGACTTTAAGACGGGATGGGAGTGGAGCCCCTGTCTGCAAGGGCTGGGGCTGCCCTGAAGGATGCGGCTGTGACCTGGATGGGACTTAAAAGGCCAGTGGGTGGCTGGGGCCTCCTCCCTCACCTGGCAGGTAGTTGTCCAGGAATCAGTAGGGATGCTCACTAGGTTTTGGGAGGAAAAGTGGCCCAGCAGGTATTTGTGTGGAGGAAGAAAACAGGACACCGGGTCTAGGTGTGGAGTCGGGACGAGGGTTCTTGCTGGTGGCTGTGACCGGGCTGGCACCCAGGGCGCCCGCACACCCTCACCTCCTGCTGCGGTTTGGGTCTCCAGCTGGAAGATCTGAACTTACCTGAAATAAAGCGGCGGAAGCTGGGAGACAGAAAGGATGAGGACAGGGCGGAGCTTAAGGACCTCTTTGACCTGGACAGTGATGAGGATGCTGCTGTGGACTTCTCAGAGAGAGGTGGGCCTGCATGGCTTGGCTGGAACTCCCAGGGGTTGGGCATCAGGCCCGGAGGAGCACCACCTACTCCCACCTCCGCTCCTGTTTGCTGGGGCCACTCCGTCCTTCCCCACCACTTTGCTTTCTCTGAGGTGGGCCTCCTGGAATTGGAACATGTGTTCCTAGGCCTTGTCCCTCTCCCCACTACTCTCCAGGGCAGTTCTGAATGTTTCCCACTTGCACAAAGGAGGCCCAAGGGGAGGGTGGGTGCTGGGCTGAGCCCAGCTACCCTCCCCTTGTGTCTCTGCTTGTGGACCCCTCCCATGGGCTCTTTCCCTTGGCCCCCAGTTACACGTAGGTCTCCTGGAGCTCAGCAGGGGATAGAGGAGGAAGACCAGGATGAAGACAAGGACAGCAGCAGTAGCGGTCAAGAAGTTAGCAACTCAGAGGGTGAGTGCTTCCTGGGGTCAGGGTGCTGTGCCCTTTGAGCCTGTGTGCCCAAGGCTCCTCCCTGGGGATATAGGGCCAGTTGCTCTGTTCCTGCTGGCCCTGGCAGCCAGCAGCAGTGGCACATATAAATTAATTAGTGCTGTGATTAATTAGTGATGAGTAACCCCCAAGTTGGCTTCTTTCTGATAAAGCAGAATTTATGTAGTCTCCGTGTCTCCCTGCAGATGGAGGCTCAGATGCAGAGTCAGGGCTGGCCCCCCGGGAGCTGTGGCAACTGCTGGCCCAGGGGCCGGAGGATGAACTGGAAGACCTACAACTCTCTGAGGAGGACTGAGGGCCACTGCCCTGGGCTGCCTGCGGTCCCCCATCTCACCAGCAGTTTGGCCTTATGTATGAGGCCTTGGGGTCAGCGCTCATACCCCAGGAAGGACAGTAGAAGGCGGACAGGGCTTTATTTTTACAACATAAAAGACCAGGAAGTACCAAGCACTGTGCTGATCACTGGAGTGGCAGCCTTGGTGACTGACACCTGCATTGTGGAGCATGCCCACTGCTGCACCTGAGGGTGCTGGGCACCCCTGAGGGAAGCTGAGCTCTCACCTGATATCAGGATGCTGAAATCTCACTGCAGTCCCAGTTCCCAAGGGAGCCAGGGGCCGCCTGGCCAGCGAACTGCTCGTCTTTGGTTTGTCAGCAGCACCCAGGTTGGATCCCAGGCGTGTGCGCCAGGCTCTGCGCCACCCCCAGAAGTCTTTGAAAACACATTCTTTTCCTCTTAAGTCACATGTTTTCTTTTTAAAAGTTCTTTGTGTTTTTGCTTCCAAAACCAAAGGAAAACCAGCTGTGCAGAGGAGCATTTGTATTGCAGTGGCTGGCACTAAAGAGTGGAGGCCTGTACAGGCCCCCCCACAACTCAGCACAGAGGGTGGGTGGGGTCTGAAGGCCCTGGAAGCAGGGCCACGGTCCCATTTTCTTGCTTGGGTGAAGCTTGGCCAGCAGTGGGCTGTCCCCCTCCATAGGGTGAGGGGGTCATTGCTGGAGACAGGGGCTGCTCCCCTAAGGTGAGCTCCTGCTCGGGGGCCTGCAGTGCTGGTGGCTGCAGTGGCAATGCCACCGGGAAGCTGGCCATGTAGAAGACTCGGCCCAGGCGCTTGGCCACCTATGGAGAGAGGCCTGGGTTGGGGGTCTGCAGCCAGGAAGGGCCTCGTGCTGTCCCTCCAGGATGTGGGACCACCGCCCCACTGGCACGCACCTGCGCCCGGATCTTGAGAGCAGGCCCCAGCTTCAGGCCCATCGTGGTCAGGAGGTGCTCCTCGGTCAGCAGGGGCAGGGTCTCCCCATCTATCCCCTGTTCTCTGAAGACCTGGTGGAGTGAGAGCCTGTCAGAGCCCGAGTGGGAACTGCCTGGTTGCCTGCAAACTCCCTCAGCCAGGCCAAAGCTGTCAGGTCAGGGTGGGGTGGTGGAGGGCTCGAGGCTTTGGAAAGTGGAGCCAAGAGGAGCTGTTTGTGAAGTTTTAGGGAAAATATTCATGTGAAAGAAAACTTGGTCATACGCCTATGTGGAAGGCACAGCACTGCGGGTGGGGATGGGAGCATGCACGGTGCCCCCATACCCTTTGAGGAGGGGAGGAGGGGGTGAGGAGAGGCACGGGGGACAGCAGCTCAGAACCATCTTGGGCAGGTGCCCCCTCACCCGTGTGTATTCTCCACAGCCAGACAGGCCCCCCACAAAGCTGCAGACATCATCCACTGTCCACTTGCTGATGTCCTCAGGGGCGGTGGCCTCCTCCCCATCACTGAAGAGTCCCCCCGTGGCTCCTGGTTGGGAGGGGGTGTTACTAGGACTGTGGCTGCCTCTTTTCCAGATTCCCATCCATCTGCTGACCTCTGCCCTTGTCCAGATCATGACTAAAAGGGCCTTTCCCCCCCCCTTGGATTTTCCTAAGAGGAAGTGGGGGGAATAGTCTCCTTCGACCCCCCCCTCCACCCCTCCCACCTCCATTGAAGGTTCTAAATCATTGGGGTGCCCACCTGTGTGTAAGTAGGGGCTGACGCAGGGCACGTTCAAGGGCAGAGATGGGGGCAGCACGGACCCTGAGAGAAGTCCCTTCCCCTCAGAGCTGGTCTCTCCAGTTGGGTGGGGGCCCCCGCCCCCAACAGTCACCATCTCGGAGTCCTCTCCATCCGAGTCCTTGGGCTCATCCTCGGAGCCATCCAGTACCCAAAGCCCAGCCCTGGTGGTCTCCTTGGGCCGGGCTGAGGCCGGGCTAACGCTCCCTGTCCGAGGGGTGCGGCGGGTGGGCTCCCGAGGCGGCGGGGTGGGGGAGCCGGAGGGTCCCTGCGGGGGCAGCGCCAGCCTGGGTGTGGAGCTGGGTCTCAGCACCAGCAGGGCGTCTGCGCCTTCCGGCGGGCGCAGCGCAGATTCTGGCGCCAGCAGCTGAGGACGGTGTGCGCCCTCCAGCTCCTTTTGCCGCAGCAGCTCCGCCGACATCTCCAACCTGGGCCGGAGGGAGGGAGGGAGGGAGGGGGCAGGGTCAGGACCCAGCGAGCGGGACGGGTCCACCTCCGGCCCAGCCAGCCCCGCCACCTACCGCGCCAGGTTCTGCTTCCGCAGGAGCTCCTGCTGCCGGGCGAGCAGCTCCGCCTGGGCGGGGGGCAGGAAGCCAAAGCCTGGGGAAGGGGACAGTCCACGAAGCGGGTGGCCGAGTGGTCCATGCCCCCCAAGCGCCTACCCCCACCCCCGGCTGTCCCTGGCAGGGTTGGGTCCTAACGGAACACTCGCGGACGCTGGTGGGGCACGGGCAAACCGTGTGGCCCCGAACGCACGGGTCCCCCAGGACACAGCCTCCAACACCCGCCTCCTCCTCACCTGGGGTCTGGCACAGAGCCGAGGGCACCCCCAAAAAGGGAGGCCTGAGGTGGGGGCCCAGAGCGATGTGCGGAGCATTCTGGGGCGACAGCAGGGGGGCCGGCTGGGACAGCTCCCTGTGGACGGCAGGGCGGTGAACACCGTGCGCCCCTTCCATTCCCGGAACGCCCCGCCCCGCCCCGCCGCCGGCCGCGCCGCTAATTGCGGCCCCGCTGGCGGCTGGAGCGCCGCTCCCCTTCGGCCTCGGGTCGCGCGCCGCCCCCGCCCTGCCCCCGCCGGCGGCGCCAATTAATCTCGGCGGCGGCGCGGAGGCTGACCCGGCGGGCGGCGGCGGCGGCTGCGGCGGTAATTACCCGGCGCGCCGGCCCTCGCCTCCCCGTCCTCGGACCCGCGCGGCCAGGGGCGGAGCACAATTAGCCGCGACTCGGGAGGCGGCTGCAGACGGCGCTCTGGTGGGGGCTGCGGGGAGCGGGGAGCGGGCCAGAGGCTGAGATCGCTGCAGCTCTTCCCGCCCCATCCCTCGCTCGCTCTTCTTCAGGTCTGCCGTCCCCTCCCCCCTTCCTGGGGCCTCCGGGCCGCAACGAGCGTCTGTGTCGCCAAAGGCTCGAGTCTGAGTCGATGCTGCTGGAGGCAGGGGCCTCCGACGTCCGAGTTCTGCCTTCTGCCCCCTCTCCACAAGTCCCCCAATCTGCATCTGGCGCCCTCACCTATCTGTTGGGGGATCCAGGCCCTCAGTTGTCTCGGGGCACCTGGATTCAGCAGGTCCCACAGTTGATCGATGGAAAGAGAATTGTCCTTAGCACTCCAACCAGAACGGGGGTCACCCCCACGCATTCTACCCCAAGAATATTTTTCTTCGGGCCTCTGCCAAGCTCAGGAGGGCCTCAGGTCCCTTCTGCACGATAAGCTATGAACCCAGGGCCAGCCCAGTGGCTGGGATGAGTCAAGGTGGCTGACAAGTATGAAGGGCAGGCTGCCACCCTGACCTGCAGAAACCAGGTGATGTCTACCCACCCCAGCAACAAGCACCGTGACTAGGGGGGCCTCTGAGATGCAGACACACCAGTACCTCTCTGAAAAGGATGGGGTGCCAGCTGGAGCTCTGCCCTCTCGGTGTTGAGCCAGGCCCTGCTTCCGACGTTGACCTGTGGGCGTGGGCAGGTGGACTTCCAGGCCACTGGGGCTCCTCACAGCTGCTGCTGCCACTTCCTGCCGGACCCTCAGGAGGTCTGGGGAAGGGGCGACAACAGCAGTGACCCAGAGCCCCCTGGGCTCTCACCCCCCTACCCTGGGCAAGCGCAGGGCACTGGCCAAGGACACCAAGACCGGAGAGCACGTCCTCACACTGACCCAAAAAGACCACAGGGCAAGGGAGACAGATCATTACGGTGCAACAGGATGCTGGGGTGGGAGTGGGAGGCACCCATCTGTCTTGGGAGGGGGCCAGGATAGCTTTTGGAAGTGATATGGGGATGTTAGTAACCAAACTGCAGTGGGAGGGGTGAAAGGGGGGGGGGCCCAGCAGGCAGGGGAGGCTGGGGGTGCATGAGTGTTGCTGATATTGAGTTCAGAGAGCATGGAGACCAAGGCTGCAGGAGCCTCGAGAAGGGGGGGGGGATGCCCAAGGTAGAGGGCGCCGACTTGCTCCTGGAGGGCAGTGTGGTCTCCAACCCCAGACTGAGGCTGCGCAGGCGGCCCCCTCCTAGGTACACGCTGTGCACTCCACCCAGCGCCTGGTGCTCTGCTACCCATCCGCCTCCCTCCAGCCTGCTCGGGGCCGGGCCTCCGAGTCCCCCCGCGGCCCCCCCCGTGTGTGCAGGCTCCCGCCGCCGCCGCCGCCGCCGCCTGTTTATAAATTAATTACCCGAAAAGCGGAGGTGGGCCCTGCCCGGGCCGGGTGCCAGCCCGCAGAGCCCAGCCGGCGCGGCCGCCTGCATCGATCCCAGCGGGGCCTCCGCGCCCCCGCGCGCTGGCGGCCGGGTTATTTACAGTCGGCTCCGCGGCGGGGGCGGCGGCGCGGGCCGTGATTGACAGCCCAGCTCGCGGCACTGCTCCCCGGCGGCCGGCAGCCCCTCCCCCGCGCAGGCCAGCCGAGCCGGCCCCAGGCAGGGCAGGGAAAGCAATTAAAAAGAGAGATTTTTAAATTATTAACATTTGGTGAATAATTCAGGCTCTCGGTGCCTCACTGCCCTGGGGGACGGTGCCTGTGTGAGGAGAGGAAGTCCTGCCCCCTCTCCTAGCACCCCCCACCCATCTTCCAGCCACAACAGCCAAGCTCCGCAGACTGGGGGCTGGGGTCAGGATGCAGCTGGGCAGGGTGCTGAGGTGTGACCTCGCGATGGTGGGTGGGACTCCCAAGCTGAGAGCTGAGACGGACAGATGGTCAGGGCTGTGGACAGGGTGGGGCATGGGGAGGGACAGGCGCCTCCAGCCAGGCTTCTGAGTACCAGTGAGGTCCTCCTGGATCCACCAGGGAAGTTCCTAAGGCTGCTGCTCCCCCTCGTCCCCCTTCCCCCTCCCCCTTTCCCTCTTCCTCCTCCCCCTCCCCCTCCCCCTCCCTCCTTTCCCACAGGCAGGCCCAGGGCTCCCTGGAGGCGGCCCTGACACTGTGGCGCCCTTCTGCTGGAGTGGAGGCCTGCAGTGTAGACAGGGACAGGACTGCCCGCATGGATGGCAGGGGCATCAGCCCCCACTCCCACTCAGGCTCACAGTGAAATGAGTGTCTGCATGTGGCGAGGGTGTGTGTGGCCCTGCAGGTGATAGAGTGGGGCTGAAGGGGACATGCAGGTGGGGGTAGGGGTGGGGCCGCAGGGGACCTGTTAGTGGGGTCCTTCTTCAGGCAGAGGGAGGTGAGTCACGTCTCTGCCCACCTCCAGGGAGCTTGCTTCTGAGGCCCTGCACCCAGTGCAG